CGGAATATTGCCTTATACAACTCTTGTCTTGCTGATCATAACAGTATCACAGTAATAATGACTTACAGTGAAATTTGCATAACTATGAAATAAGCAGGAAGGAAGGGCAGAGAAATTAATGTCCTACATTTTTCTATATATCACAGAACAGCAGCTCAACATGGCTTCCACAGACTCTAGAACACTTTTATTCAATATTTGCTTTATGCCAGGTCTAGAGCCTTAGATATAGCCTATCATTTAGATACTCTAGAGTCCTCATGCTTTAATCTCTCAAATTACCTCTGTATAGGTATTAACATTTCTATTATGTGCAGACATGCACCACCATGTATCAAGACTCTGTCTCAAAAAAAATTTTTTTTCTATTATGTTATGGAAGAAACAACTAATGATTGGATTGGTTAAGAAATTCCTCAAGGTCCCACAGTGAATAGGTGAGTTTCAGACCTAGGTCATTCTGATTTAAAGGCCCAACCACATCACAAAGCTTCACATAGCAGGTCTGGCCATGTAATACATATTTCTGATTTGAATCCTTTGAAGACAAAACTAAAACTACTCAGTTGAAGAATGTTAATGATAATCAAATGTTCCAGGGCACTGACCTAGGACCCTTGCAAAGTCATCTGAACTACAGCAACCGGTGCTGCTTTTAGGAAGCTGTTATCTATCAGGATGGGCTACGTAGTGCTGCAATAACAAGCAAATCCTAAATCTCAGTGCCTTCACACAATACAAACTTACTTCTTCCTTATGGCCAACTCATAAGGCCAGGCCAGGAATGTTCATCTTACGTATTTAGGATCCTAGGGTAGCAGTGGTTTCCTACCAACATGTACTTTCGTGATTGCTGAGGCTGGGGAAGTGAGTATCACACACTGGCTCTTAAAGTGTCTTCCCAAAGTGACACATTTCACTTCTATTCACAGTTCTTTGGCCAAAACAAGTCTTGGAGCCATACTTCAGGGAACTGGGGAAGTGCATCCTATCAGGTGTCTGGAAGGAAGCTAGAAAGATTTGGTGACTAACAGAAATCCCCTTCCCCACCTACACGCAACCATGTGCCTGTTTTGTGTCACTATAGTTTTATCTTTTCCAGACCGTAATGTAAATGGAATCATACAGTGTGTAGCCTTTTATGTCTAGCTTTCTTCACTTAGCACACCACTTTGAAACTCAATCATGCGGCTGCCTGTTGCTGTTGTTTGTTCCTTTTACATTGGTAGGTTGTGTTCCATTGCATAGTTGTTCAACAATTCTACAGATGAAGGGCTATTTAATATTTTTTTTTCAGTACTGAGGATAGAACCTAGGCCTCAACCATGCTAAACAAGCACTGTAGCACTAAGCTACATTTCCAGCCCTTTTAAAATTTAATTTTTTTTGACAACGTCTCACCAAGTTGCTCAGGCTGACCTGCTTCAGCCTCTTGTGTACCTGGAATTGCAAGAATGTACCATAATGCCCAGCTGTCTAGTATATCTTTAAAACACTTTCTTCCCAAATGTCTGCTTGAGCATTGCTCTGAGAATTTTTTGCTAAGGGTTCCAGTTTAGTTATATGTCACAGCTATGTATTTATTCACTATTAGCCAATCACTAACTTTGTTGGCCTTCAGCTAGTAGAGGGCCTAGCTTTCCAGGATCTTTAATCTTATTATATTTATCTTGCCAGATATATCCATCAATTTATTTATCCATTTTAAAATTTATTATTTTTATTTTCGGTACCGGGGATCTAACTCAGGATCTTCTGCTTGTGGGGCAGGCAAGGTGCCACTGAGCTAAATCCCTGGTCCTGTATTCACCCATTTTTTAAAGTGAATGCCTTCTAGGTGTATGTCAGGCCCTGAGCATAAATTGTGTTAAAGGAATCAGTACTGATTCCTGTCCCCAGAGCTGCGATTCTGAGGCCATTAAAGGGGACAGGTTAGAGAAGTGAAAGGGAAATGGCAAGAACACATTGAAAACTGGTCTCAGAGCTCTGGGGAAGTTACTAGTGAATTAGCATCAAAATGACATATCAATTCTTCAACTGTCCTTGTGGTGACAGGAGAGCTTATTAAAGAGAACGGTATTGTAATAGACAGCTAAGTTAGTTAGAAATATTATAGGCAGTCATACAGGACTGGGCCCTTGAGTAAGTCAGTGCAGAAGACAACTGTGGCTGGAGGCACAAATTAACTACTCCCACGTACTTCTCTTAGAGATGAACACCAGTGATTGATATTCTAAATAGGCATCAATCACCTGGGTAAGGACCAAGACCTTAACCCATCCCTTCCAGGAAAGGTCCCTGACCTATCCCTTTCTGTTCGTTCTATGTGTGACTAGCGTCATTTGATCCCTACTGAATCAATATTACCTAAGCAACTATATGTTGAATCTTATTAGTTGACTATAGTTTTGTCCCAGCTTATACCCACCTCACCTCACGGTTTTGCTCTATAAAACACCCCTGAGAAACAGAGAAACAGAGTCCGTGGGCAACTCACTTTATGGGCCCCTTCTCTTAGACAGAAGATTTCTTTTTCTCAATAAATACTTCCTACTCTTAGCCTCCATTGTTTCTAGATTCATTTGATTTTAGAGAAAACTAACTTGACGTATTGGACGTCTACTGTGTTGGGAGTTACAGTATTTCCTTCATATTATTTGGAGGTCTATATATCATCCCTATATTACAGCCCTATATAAGTATGTGTTGTTTCTTTATAGTTTACAAAGTATTTTCTTATGGATTCTCTTTAATTCTTACAGATCTGTGAGGCAATAACCATTGTCCCCATTTTTCTGATTCAGGACACTGGGGTTTAGAAAGTTGGACAGACTTTAAGACTTGATAACATAATTTGGAGAAAACACCAGGAAACTACCGGAGAGTGTCTGTTAGCAGCTGATGGTGCTGCGAGCTTTTATGAGGTCAATAAAAGTCAACATAAATATTTGTTCCCGGCATCACCCCTTTATCTTTCTGATCTGATGTTCCTGCTCAGGAAGTGTATGATGTCATGATCCAATTCTGAGATTCGAAAGCTGTCATGGCCATTCAGCACCCCATATCGGAGGACTTTGACTTGGATGAACTCTCTATCATGTGCCTGATCTTTTTTTACTTCTCAAACAACTGGAAAATGGATCACTGTGCATTTCTGAAGTCCTTTAAACCTGAGTCTAAAAATATCTTTGAGCTCTTTATTTGCTCGAAAATCAAATCCTGAGGTAGAGGCTCAGCTAGGCCAGAGGCACAAGTAGGAGAAGCAACTCAGGCCAGTTTATTGAGTACAGTGGAAAGGCCTCCCAAATTTAGGTTCAAAAAGCACCAGGATGCAGCATTACTTACTTCTAGCCAAAATACAGAAGTAACCCGTGTCCATTGATAAAGAAATGGATAAGGAAACTGTGGGACCTATATAGACAACAGGTATTATCATTTGAAAAGGAGACATTGTCCTTTGAGCAGCATGGAACTTGGGATACTAAGCTAAGTGGAATAAATAAGCCAGATACAGGAAGACAAATATTGCATGACCTCATCTGTATGTGTTTGCTAGTGTATGTGTGTGGTAACTGCTATCATGAAATGCTTGTGCAGAGTACTTACAAAGTTTATGTAGCTCAAAGTTCTGGAGGTTCAAAGGCATGGGGTTAGCATTGGCTTAGTTCTGGGGAGGGCTCTCTGGGCTGTCACTGCTCAGTGGATCACATGGTGAAAGAGCTCCTGTGTGAGGGAGAGATCTCATTTCAAACAGGAAGGCAGAGAGACTGGGTCTCACCATTCCTTCTGAGGGTACACCCTCAACCGACCTGAGACATTTCCATCAGGTCCCTCCATTAAAGGTCCCTTGACCTCCCAACAAAGCCACAATGAAGACCAAGCCTCCAACACGGGAATCTTTCAAGGATGAAAAAAAATCAAATACATAGAACAGTGTGAAGGGAAGGTGATGGAGAAAAGTAGGTTAAAGGAAAGACAGTTGTGTAGGATAAATAAAACTAGAGATCTAAGGGTACAGCATGAGCACTATGGTTAGAATGACTGTATTGGATACTGAAAATTCACTGAGATTTCAGGTGCTTCTACTACACATGTGCACACACACACACACACACACACAAATACCTAGGTGAGATGAGTTAAATCCATCTGCTTGACTACAGTAATCATTTCACTATGTATATCAAAACATGTACACCTTAAATATATACCATTAAAAATAAAATTATTAAAGAAGTGGAAATGATGGGATATTTGTAATGTCTGGCTGAGCTGAATAGGAACAAGGGGTCAGCTAGTTCCTGTTTCTCTCAGCTGAGGACTGTTAGCTGATGGCCTGGAAGAGCAGAGGAGGAAGAGCTGTTCTGACGAAAATGGTGCTCCTCACCACCGCCATTTAGGAATGTTTGATGGCCCACGGCCCTGATCTAATCTGCCAACTCACTGCATGCCCAAGCTCTTAGTGGATTCCCCTAGTGCCAATATAAAGCATAGAAGAGGCTCATATGACATCACTGTCGTGCTAGGCATTCAAGGAAGCAATTAATGAACAATTATTTCTCTAGCCAGGCTTGGCCAACATAAATGTAAGGTCCATGGCCCACTGTTTTAAAGTGGCTCAGTTGTTCTCCCACCCAGCAGACATGCTTACTTTCTCTTCTTCTCCAAGACACAGGAGTTGGCATAGAGTAGTAGTGTGAGACACTCAGGCAGACATTTCCAGAATCTGAACTGGTTACTTATGCCCTCCAATTCAAAGAAAAGAAAACAAAAGCAGGTGTTACATGAGAATTAGGCCTCTTGTCATTTAGGTCTGTCCGTTCATACATCTCTCCATCCATCCACCCACTCATCCATCAGAAGTGCACTTCTTCACTTCTGGGCTCTGAGGACAGAGAAATAATTCATTCTCCATGTACACTTGCATTAAGTAAGTCCCCTGAAAAACAACTTGCTGGACTCCTGTTTGGTTTGCTTGTTATTAAGAGAAAAACACACAATGAAAAGGATATTAATTTTATTGCAATATTTTACTGACTAGAACGCCAGATTGAGAGTGACTGTAAGTATAAAAATAACCAAATTCTTACAAATAATACTTTGCTGCTACAGTATTGAATAATTAGTGGAGGCTGGAATTATAATACAACTTTAAATAACATTCTCATAATGGGTTTAACAAATCCACCAAGGGCTAAGGTTTACAAAGAGCAATTCAGGACAATGTGAAAATTAAGAAAATTCACATTCCAGCTACATGTTACATTTAACCATAAATCCAGCAATGCAGACATTAACAAAACCCACAGCACCTCATGATGAGACAATCACTTTCCTTCTGGAACAAGCTTGGGTGATACAGAAAGGCAAGTGTGTTAGATCAGTTTCCCAGACAACTGACCCCATCACATCTCTGCCCTGTAGCGTCCTTTCTAAGAAGTCTGCACTGATGGACACTAAACACCATAAAAAATTACAACCCTAGAATCTATAAGGGACTTCTTTGAAATGTCCTTTGAAAATGCTCACGGGACAGATCCACTCTAGAATCTGTCTCTTTTTAGACCTAAAGGATCCCCTTTGGTTTTACGGGCTTTTCTGTGAGCTAGTTTACATAGATTGGAAGGAGTATAACACACTGAGATTACTTTAGATCAACCAATTAATTGGCATTTAATACAGTAATGTGCCTGCCATTTTAACCAGTTTTCTTCTTTGGAGATATGGGAAAAAAAAATACCCAAAAGCAAATTCTACAAAAACATTTTTGTTTCTAAAAATGTACATAAGAACCCTTAGAATGACATGTTGTAAAAGAAGGAAAGAAAATGTCCATTCCTACCCCTACAAAAGCTTTCAGATAGGAAAAGTATCTCGTATATTAAGGGCAGTTTTAAATAAAATATAAAATACGGAACTCTGCACTCTTCCTCTTTCCAAAGAGGTGCTCTAATTTCAAAATCCAAATATATTTTAGAATTATGAATCAAAACCCTAGTTTTGGGTGTATTAGGCAAAGCAAGGGTGACTCAACAGTACAGCGCTATTTCTCCAGGCAAAGTTCCACAGTTCCAGGGCATCTGAGCCCTCTGCCAGCGGACAAGGTGACTTAATGAGGCACCAAAAGCCACATTGAAAGGAGTGGCTCTAACATGCCTGCTCTGAAACTTTCACATCTGAATAGACTGTGCCCTTCAAGGACATATCCTTGAATAGCCATCCAGCCCCCTACCCAAAGATGCTACCTTCTCCCACGGGCCCAGTGACCTACCTCTTCCATAACTCAAGCCACCTTTATTTTTAAACCTCAAATACTAACAGCCAGCTTGACTGCATCATCCATTCAGCAAGCTGCTTCTGAAAATAACTTTCCCCTCCAAGAAGGAAGCTCAGCATTGAAGACATCTCACTGATGATGTTCCCAGCTCTGATAATGGTTCACAAAAATACATTCTCGTATGTGGGAACCACAGCCTCACTATGGGAACAGGGCTGACAGCCCTTGGATGTGTAATTATAGCCATGCTTGTGGAGAACCCACCCAGGTCAGCACCTTGCACTTCCTCCAGCCAAAGCCACATACCAATATGCTTCTTGCTGAGCACATACCAGCCACCATTTTCTTGACAGGGACCACAAGCATCCAGGAAATACACACAAAAATCAATCCAAAAGGGCATTTTTCAAAAGGGATTCAGTATGTTTTGTACTTCATGTCATTAGTTTGGTTACTGCTTAATATATTAAAATTCTTTAAAAATAATTTAAATTGTAGGTCCATTCTCCCTTGCCTTCTGTGAGATTTAAAATATACTGCACGGCAAGGTATCTATCTGCCAGGAAGTGAGGCTGGGAGAGCCAGTGGAAAGAGCCATAGGCTGAGTCATGCACACTGTGATCTGAATCCTCCCTTTACAAGACCAATTATAGCTGGGGAAGTAGCTCAGTGCAGTACCTGCCTGGCAAGTGCAGGGCCCTGAGTTCAATTCCCAGTAACAATACAAGGCCAATTATTTATCCTCTTTGGAAGTTTTTATTTCCAAGAGATGAGCATGCACAACTAACTAGCAAGGGTGATATGAGGCCAGGACCTGGCGTGGAGCCTGTTCATGATAGGAATATCTTTCTAAAGAAACAGATCCTAGCACCCTGGGGTGCCTCGTGGAGTAGACAGGAAAAGACAATGGAAATAAGCTCACCCAGTGTGTAAAGCCCAGGAGCCAACTCCTCCCTCTCCAGCTCTCCTGCCCCAGCATTCTCCAGACACACAAGTTCCCTGTGGCCCAGAAGCAGCCTGTGGGATGCTAAGTGTCACTTTTCCCCAGTGGCAGGGGTCCCACTGTAGGACCATGGTATTTCTGTGCATGCAAACCACACACTCCAGGTGTGGAGGCTGACACAGCACTTGGGCCCCCACTGTGTCCCGCATGTCAGGTGGATGTCTTGTTTGCTTATCTCTGGGCTGCTGACACCCTACAGCTGTTTCCTCTCAGCCCAGGTGGGGCCTTCTGGAGATAAAACCCCAACAGGAGTGAGCCCAGCCTCTCCCTTCCTTGCCCAGACAGGCAGTGAGCAACAGGTAAGTCATGTCCCTCTCAAGCCTTCTCTGCCCTCACCTTCACCCTCCTCCTTGAAACTGTAGATACTGTGCACTCAACCTTGCTTGGCTCCTTTTTTCATAATGAAAAAGAAACACTATTCCTAATCCACTCCATTTGGACAAAACCCGTGAACAAACATTTCTGGAACTCACAGAATGCTCTTTTTTGAACATTAGGATTCTTCCCAAGCATGCGTTTGGAACAGGACAGGATGCTTCATATTGTGGGGCTTAAGGCTTCTGGCCCTGACACCGGAGATGATTTGCCAGCTGTGGTGTCAGCTGAAGTTAGAAGTGTAGTCCAGGAGCAGCTGCCGTGGTGGCTCTTCCTGTAGCTGGGGGACACAGCACAAAGGATGGGAAGGAGGTGGTCTCACAAGGGAGCCAAGTCTGCTGGCTCAGGTGAGCTGAGTGTGGAGCTCAGAGCTCTCCAGGTAGATGCAAGGTGCAAAGGGCCAGTTGGTTCCACAGAAGAGATGCAGACCCAAGGATTCAAAATGGCGACACTCTGAGATTTTAACATCCACTGACAGTAACAGAATGCTTTATGTACTTGTCTCATGAGATGAGTGCAATCTAATTACTGAAACTCACTGCATCTGACTAGTGCTCCTGCCATAGCAGGTGTTGGTACACCGTGGAGACTGCAGGACACAGGAGTTCATACCTAACCCTGATAGGATAAGGACTGCATGAAGAGATCATAGGAACCATGAAGAGGCTACCATGCCCAGGGCAGAACTGTCCCCAGCAGTGGTGCTATTTCCAGAAATGTGTTCCAATGTGCACAACTGAGCTCCCAGCTTCAGGGTGGGGACAAATTCTTTTACTTCCATGTTCCCTTCACTTCAACCAACACCAGGATGTTCTACAAGAAGATAAATGAACATATTTCCACAGGGAGCAGTTAAAAGACACCAAGCGCTGGACAAGCCTCCCTTGCAGGATCCACGGCACAGGCACAATACGTACAGCTTTGGCATTTCCTTCCCACAGGCAAGCACTCAGACCCCTAGCTGGGCAGTCTTTAGTCCCCCAATGCAGTCTTGGAGTCTGTGTCTCTGGAGGGCACTGGAGAGTCACAAATAGGTACCAAGGACCGGGTAAGAGATATTAAGTTATTTCTTCATTGAATAAATAACTTTGGTTGAAAGGTTACACTGACTTTGTGGATGAAATTCTGGATACAAAGATTAGCAGGTAAGCACACTCACCTGTGGCTTCATCCTAGCTCCTATTCTAGCTCAGAAATTCCCTATGGCTTCCCACAGTGCTGGTGATACAAGAAATCTACCATGCCCATCTGACCCATTCCTCTAACCTTGTTCACCTTCAGGGACTGCAGCAGGTTTTCCTCTAGTGATGAAACACTAGCTCAGGTCCAGGCAGACTCAGCTTTCCTTTTTTCTATCCATTGCAGCCACTGGCTTTCTTGATGGTAAAGTCCCAGAGCCCAGGTGCTGCCCTCACAGATAACAAGTGTCCCACCACCTATAGGACCAGCTCCCAATTCTGCCTGTCTGGCCTCACTATGGGGCACCTGGATGCCTCTAAAACCAATTGTAAGTTGTTTTGCCCCAGTCCATTTGCCCAGAAAAGTGAGATTTAACTGTACAAGGAAAAAAACCATTATAAAAAAATGTGTCACCTTGACTTAAAAAAGACAAGAGAGTTGGGTGCTATGCCTCAAAAATGTCAATTCCTCATTTTGGGGGTTGGCTTAGAGACTGTAGCATAAGGCAACCTAGAAGCATTAAAATATTGGATGCTCAACTTCAAAACTAGTGGTATGTCAATCCCCAACTGTTGTTCAGCAGCAGGTGCCAGGCAGGGAAACAAAAGCCAGCATCTGGCCACACGTTCATCACCAACTGCAGCCTGGCGTCTGGAAGTGTCTCAGTGACTCTTTGGGACAGCTTTGAGACAAATCCAAAAGGAGACCTGCATGCCCAGTTGACTAAAGTGCAAACTCAGGGAAAACTGGGTCCCTGCAATGAAACCCAGTGGTCCGCTGGGGCTCACAGCCGTCTCTCGTGCCAGTGCTGCATCAGTCACTCAAGAGACTCGCTTGGTACTGGCCCATGTACACATTCACAGCAACAAGAAAGGTGCCAAACAAGCAGCCTGCATTTCCATATCCATCTGGCCCCTTCCACTGTGGTCACGGCCCTCACGCTTGTCTTTCTCTTGCCATTTATGTGTGGCTCTGACAAGGCTGGGAGCGGCCAGTGCACGGTGCTCCCTTTGGCGCAGTCCTCTGAGCCGCAGAGGTGCCAAGGACCTGGCTCAGGGCAGCGGGCCCTCTCTTGCCTGGACTCAGAAGTAGTCTCTTCTCCTGCTCTCATCACTGATGAAAGATGGGTTATACTGTCCGGGGAAGATGCAAGAATGCCGAGAGCCGGGCAATCCAGTGTAGGCCGGGTAGAGTCCATTTCGTTCAAGTTCGAGATTCCTTACATTTGTGGGCTGGTTGCCAAAGAGAAAAGAAGAAAAACCAACTGATTATTCTAGGGTTTATTTTGTTTTTCTTGTTTGGTACTGGGAATCGAACTCAGGACTTTGCCCTTGCAAGCCAGGTGGCAGCACCACTGAGCTAAATCCCTGGCCCAAAATTTTCCTCTTATTCTGGGGTTTAAACTTAAATGTAAACAGAAATTTTACATTTTAATAGACTTAGGATGGAGGCAGTTATATAAGGGCAGAACAAGTTCTGACCTAGAAAGAAGTGAGGACTCTCCCTGGTCTGTCTCTTTATAGAACCTGGAATACATCTGTCCCGTTTTAAAAGGGAATTAGAAAATATTAATTGAGGGCATCTCAATGATTTTAGATCAACATAGGAAAAAAGATGGGTTTATCCTTGTATGATGTGGTTCAACTGATTATCTTAAATTTAAAAAAATACCTTTCTCTCTTGAGGATAACTGGCTTTAAATAGTCCCTAGCATTTAGCAGAGGGTTAGTAGCAGATGCTACCAACATGAGCTTTACAAGGTCCAATGGCTACTGTCACAGATGGAGCAAGGACCACAAACGAGAAGGCCAGCAGTGATTCTCAGGTGTCTCTGACCAAAAGCCAGTTTTATAGGTCATGATCTACCTATCTGATTTGCAAGAGGAGCTCCCTGGGAACAAAGGCTATTTGGAGGAGCTCTCACCGTAACACCAGGGGGAAAAGGCTTTCTTGGCAGAAATAAGACACTGGATAAAGGCGAATCCTCTCATAAAAGCCCAGAGTGGGAGTCACCAGGACAACCACTGAGCCTGCTGTGAGGAGCAGCCTGTCCACTCAGGTGAGCTTCCTGCTGTAAGGTTGGCCTCTGCCTCTACAGACTACTCAGCCTACCATATGTGAAGACAGATGGGGTTCATTTAAGTCCTTAACTAGCTCTACTTAAGGCAACTCGAGCAAATGCTGCAGAAACATGCAGTGAAACAGGGTCCTACCACACCACAGGTCTGGGGCTCCTCACACAGGATGTGGGTGTGTGGGCCAGCCTGTGTATGCAGGCAAGCCTGGTAAAGCACCAGCTTCACTTAGGAGATGAATAGGACTTTTTCCAACAGAGAAAAAAGCAAAGCCCTATGCAGAAATAGCAATGGAAATACTTTAACTAGAGTTAAGTTTGCACCTACATTTATTTTTCCTCTTTATTTCTTCTTGTTCTTCCTCCAGGTTTGTATTTTTCAAAGAACCCACTGAAATAAATAGCTCTTGAGTGTGAACAAATCTGTTCCTCCCACCCAAAGTCTGATTCTCATGACTGATTCCTGTATGACCAGAGGGATGGGCGGTTTTTGTAACAGGGCTACCTTGTGCTACTAAGTCCCCACGGGGCCAAGTTTCATGTTTATTGCTGTCAATGAGAAGTCACCTGACATCCATACTTTTCGGTTCAGATATCCCTTTCTGCTTGCTTTATGATTGGTACAATGTAGAGGAATAAAACCTGGATTAAATTCAACATGGGATAGAAGATGCCAGGGCTCAAGGTATTCTCCTGCCTATCCAAATGATACAGTCCAGAGCTGAACAGAGCAAATTATTAAAGACCCACTCAATTTATAATTTCCTAAACCTCTGAGGATGATTCTGAGTCATTCTCTTTATATTTGTTTTCAACCCCTAGGTTTAACACCTAACCCCACAAGGCAAGGTAAAGGAGGGCAGATGAGACAAAAACGAAAGGATCTAGGGGTAAATATCACTAAACTTTGTCTCTGCTTCTCAAATTCCATAATGTACTACAAGGAAATATCCTTCATATCTCAACACCAAGGGTGACAAATACCATGCAAATATGTCATAAGGAAACAGAATGTTAAGATACGTAAATAAGAGGCTCATGCTATAGTTCTCTTGGACCCTTAACTACCTGCAATGTTTTTACCACAACAAAACAGAATTCCCTTGCTTCTCAAAGACTGCGCTGGAAATACACACCGAGTAGTACACATCAGTCATCTGCAGGAGGTTTTTGGTGCTTCCGTTCTCTTGCATTTCAATAGCTTCTCGGCCCCACTCTTGGGAGCGAGGGTTCTTGGGGTACTCAGCATATGGGGACATTTGGAAATCTCCACTTTTAAAGATGAGTTTGCTTATGTCATTTTTATTCTTTCTGAGGAGCAAAAGATAGTAAAAGGTCCATGAATAATTTTTGTAAAGAAGTGATATCTATGAAAATAGCAACTGTTATTTTATGACATAAATTAGACTGAGAGCTATCACTCTATTGTCAGCTGACCACTGAGGAATGCGATTATGGTTATTTTTAGTATTTGCTGAAAAAAAATACAATTAGGTACAAAAAATCTCCCAACATAAAGGGCCAGGTTATTAGGGACAGGGAGGACAGAGACAGCTGCAGTGGAGTTGTTGGACTCCTCTAGGGTACAGAGATCACTGTGTCTTGGGGTAGCCAGGGAAACAAGAATCACAAGTGTATGTAATGCTGGACCCAGAAGGAAGCTCAAAGGCTCCCAACCAGACTGAGTGAGATTTTACATGAGAAGAGTCTAGGTTTCCTCCAGTTTTCCTGAATTAGGAGCTCTGTGGACAGGGCAATTCTGGCTCATCGAAGAGACCTAAGTTGTCCCCTGGGTCACCTTTTGCTACCAGCTTCTGCTTGGAGTAGAAGTTAGGCTTCCCACCTCCCCAGCCAGTGTTCTTTCTACTACAGGAAGCTACTTCACAAATCATAAAACAGGATGGTTTTGCACATAAAAGGTTCTCATTTATTAACTACCCACATTCTCATTTTATATTGTGAGGTTTCACCAACTAGAAATTGTTGAAATATGTATTCTTTGTCTATCTAATGAGCCCAGTATCAGAAAAAAAATTTTTTTTAAGACAAGGTCTCACTATGCAGTTTGGGCTGGCCTCAAACTCACTATGTAGCCTAGGCTGGCCTCGAACTCATGGCAATCCTCTGTCTCAGCCTCTGGTGTGCTGGAGTGCTGGGATTACAGGTGTGTGCCACCACACCCAGCTCAGTATCAGAAATTTTAAATTATATTTGCTTTGGGTAAGATCAGTTCAAGTTTCTTCCATCGTGTTTCTTACCTATAAGTAAGGGGGAAGGCACAGAATAACATAGGGTCATAAAACCAAATTTTGGCGCCTGGCTTAGGTGTTGGCCCTCTGTGCATGTTCAGAACAAAACAGACCTGCCACACTTGTGTGGTGGGTGGGGTCTCGGGCCTCAAATAATGACTTCCTTGTTCATAACTACTTTCCCTTCCCAGTGACCAAAAGTCACGGGCTCCCTCCCAAACTGCTATACCACGTGGTACCGAACACATTGCAAGCACAAGGCTTAGACATGCTTGAGCTCTCAGGTCTTGCCCCTCTAAGGTAAATGTTTCTAGTCTCGTACCCAGAAGTTTATTTCAACTTGTATGGTTCATCATTGATGGCAATTTGGTAAATGACAAGCAAAGGTTGTACCATAAAGGCCTACATTCTCGAATGGCAGTTACAGCTAATTGTTCTCTGTGGTCTTTTTTTTTTTTTTTTGGTACCAGGGATTGAACTCAGGACCTTGCGCTTGTGAGGCAGGCACCGGAACCACTGAGCTAAACCCCCGGCCTATGTTCTCTGTGGTCTTAATGGAGATGGATATCTTACAGTATCCTCATGTCAGTGACAGAGAAGAGAGCTTGTTATTTTGGTAGGTTCCCTCCATCTGTTATGTTCAAATAATTCCGGCCATTTATTATCTAAATCAAAGGTCATAATTTTCCTTTACCTGAAGAGCTAATCAGAGGAAGGTCAACTCTCCCTTTCCCAACAGGAATGTGATCCCACTAGCTTTCAGGAAGCCTTCAGCCAAGTTTACTGCTATTTCGGACATTGATGCTATAAATTCCCCACTGCTACAACATTTCAGAAATCTCATACCCCTTAGTAATCACTTTCCAGTTCCTTCTCCCTTCCCCTCCACCATTCCACCCCAGTCCGAGAAAGCCACTAATCTACTTTCTGTCCCTATTAAACTTGCCTATTTTAAGCAACTCAGGTAAAGGGAATTACACTGTGGTCTTTTGTGACTGGCTTATTCCACTTAGCATAATATTTTCAAGGTTCATCCCTATCTCAGTACTTCACTCCTTTTTATCACTGAATAGTCCACTGTGTGGCTCGATCAATTTTTTTGTTTATCCATTCAAAAAGCTGATAGACATGGGGATTCTGTTAAGCTTTAATGTTTCTATGAACACCCACATACAAGTTTGTGTGGATAAAGTAGAGTATACGTTTTCAGTTATCTTGGGTACATACCTGGGATTGGAAGGGCTATATTTTAACTATCTGACTTTTTCAAAGGGACATCACTATTTTATATTCCCACAGCTATGTGGAAGTGTTATTTCTCAACATCCTCACCTCAAGCATTCTAGACAAGTAAAAACTGACCTTCGTATAGCACAGGCAAACAAACAATTAGAATCTGAACTCTCCTTACTTACCTGCAACAGGTGACAATCAGTGCAATGCCCAGGACAAGGAGAAGCCCGCCTCCTGCTGCTGCGATGACCACAGTGATGAGCTGATAGGCTAAACAGGTCACACAAACGGGAGCTAATGAATGCAGAGTAGAGGACAGTGTCCCCTCTGTAGCCGCCACAAACACCCTTTGGTCTTTGACAAGGGATTCTCAACAGCTATTTTTACATTTTCTCTATATTGAGAAGCATTCCCCCTACAACAGTTACTCCTAGAACAGCAGCTCCTAAATTCTACCCGCATTCCAGCCTCTGATGACATTTTTACCAATCCATGGTAAAAAGAGAAAAATAAAGGTGACTAATGGATTTTTCAGAACTTAATTTGTTCCATTTTAATAGCAATTCTATAATCTAAGGTTTTATCCTTATGTTTTTTCTCTAACGTAAGATGGGTGTTTTTATTCCATCATGTGCAAATTATGCCTCAGGATATTGGATCTTTAAAAAAGTAACAGAAAACACACCATCTTTCTTTGGTCACTTCCCACTCTATGGTATTGACTATTGTTTAATTTTTTGACTTGATGATGAGAGCAGATATAAAAATGCTTGAAGTAGTTTCAGGATCTTACTTGATAAAATAAGGTGGCAACTCTAAATTAACTTCCGAATTTTGTAAGAAACACTATTGGTCACTTAAGTTCAGGATCTAGAAATCACTGCTTAACCATGCTAGAGACTGAGTAGGCTCCTCAATAAATATACACTGAATTTAATTATAAAAAAATAAGCAATGATACAAACAAGTGCCTATGGTATTTCATAAACAATACTAGACGTTTTTAGTAATTGGGTTGTATGCCTGTATGTTTCTGACAAAATTATTTTCAATAAATTCTATTAAATATTCAGACTGATGTTTTGTTGTTGTGGAAATGCAGCTAAAATTGTGTTCCTAGGTTGGATGATGAAGGACGAAAGGCCAATAGCCAGATTTTCTACAGTAAATTAGCCTTGGCATCCAGGTATAGTCCAAGGGTAAGGACAGAGCTCATGCTCTCTCTTACCCTCTGGCTAAATCTCCTTCTCTCGCAGCTACAGATCACTAAGTGCTGGTTGGAAGTGGAGACAAGAAGGGAGCAGACTGTGAGCAGAACATGGGTAAATGTAAGCTATGCAACCTCTTACTTAGTTTTGTTTAAATAAAAAGCATAGAAGCTATTGTGAAAAACTACCAGTATTGCCACAAACAGGGAGCAAAGCCAAACCATGGAATAAACTCATTGTTGTCTCTCCTCTTGACATATGTATTCAGAAGTTTCCTTTCAACAAAAGTAAAGACAAAAGACAAACTGCTTAAACGTATTCACATCATCTCTGCCACCACTGTCTAAGCTACTGGCATCTCTAGTCTGGACAATGACAGTCATCTCCCAACTCAATTTCCTGCACCCAGTCTTATCCACTCATCACAAAAAACAAGTCTGATCATACCATTTTCCTGCTTAAAAAAACTTTCAGTGGTGCTTTCTGTTCCTAGATAAAGGTCAAAATCAAGCTCCCACTCTCTTTCCTCACTTCTAGCAAAGCAAACAAACATCTATTTTTAAAATGACCCTGGCATGTAGCTGCAGCTTTAACAGGTTCCTCTTTGCAACAAGCAGTTTTGCCTAAAAAGATACACAAGACAGCAGAGACGACTGCTTCCCAAACTGCCTGTGGTCAAGGACCAGTTTTTGTTTGTGCTTTTAGATATCTTTTTACATAAAGAAAATAAAGTCCCATTTGCTCCTCTTATCTATTCCCATAGGTACCAACTGTCATGCATTTCCTTTTCCCCTTTTTTAAAGTCCAGTAACAGCTCACAACACAAATCACACTTTTAGTCACACTAGTGTAGTCTGTGCTTTCCAAATTTCCACCTGAATCACCTGAATTCCTGAGTCTGCACCCCAGGAGGTTTGATTTAGCAGGTCTGGGTAAGGACTCAGCAGTTGGTTTCCAGCAAGTTTCCAAGGGATGGTGGTGCTGTGGGCCTATCTTTCAGACTCACTCAGAGCTACACTGACACACACTGGAGAGAAGGCTGGGATAAAAGCCAGGAAACTTCCCCACACAGAAGAACTGGTAGAGAACTCATCAAAATGTTCATGGAAGTTAGTACTTTGGGTAACTATGGCTAACTTTTGCTGTAGTCTTCATGCTCTTCCGTATTTCCCAATTTTTATTTAGATTTACACACACACATATACACCCCTCCTCTAAATTTAGGAAAGATGTATGCACATACATATACATATTTTATTTTATTTTTTTTGGTACTGGGGATCGAACTCAGGTCCTTGCACTTGTGGGGCAGGGGGAGGAACCACTGAGCTAAATCCGGGGCCCCTGTATACATATTTTAAAAGAGAGGGCAGGGGACTTAGCTCAGCGGTTTCACGGCCTGCTGTGTAAGTGCAAGGACCCGAGTTTGATCCGCGGTACCAAAATAAATAAATAAATAAATAAATAAATAAATAAATAAATAAATAAATAAATAAATAAATAAATAAAATAGATAAAAATAAAAAGAGTAACTTTTGTGGCAGCCATATCACTAGAAACCTTCAGTAAGTGTACGGACAGTATCACCCACTGACCTTCTTAAAATCATTCCACAATTGATCTTTTTAGCCTAAGTATTGACTTTAGGTTTATCATGATGTAAAAGTACATGGGAATCAATGCCAAGCGTAATGTTCACTAGCTTCACAGGAGCTCGGAATGTTTAAGATGGGGCAGATGCAGCAATAGTCATCTTAAGCTTGTCTGTCCTGTCCCTCCTGGTCTGAAAAGATCCTCCAGAATGGAGAACTTGGAGTTCTCAGTCCTACTTCCTCTTTGACACTTGTTGACCATTCAGTGTTTCTCGAGCAGTGACCCCTTCCTTTCATCTTCACAGCCTGATGCTGTTAATCACGGTTGGTATTTTCCATCAAACCAACCCACTCACAGACTGTCTTTGCTTATGTTTGGATGGAATCTACTGAACTCACTGCTTAGCCAACCTGCTTCTGGGAACCATTCGCATCCTCCAGAGGGCTGGTCAGGTCTGTACATGTAACAGTGTCCCCTGGCCACAGCTGACCAATCTGGGAACAAGCACACGTCCAAACTGGATCAACCAGTTCCTTCCTAGGAATCTCAAGTCAGGGAAAAGTGAGCCTTTTCTTTCGAAACAGCTAAACAAATGACACACATCCAAGAACTGTTCAGCAACCCTTACTTTCCAACATGTTCTCTGGGAAGGAGAGATGGCCAGACACATGGCGAAGGGTAGAGCATACATATGAGGATGAAATCACACTATTATGTGCCTGAAAAGATGGCCCTGACTTCCAGCTACTGGAGTTCCCCACATTTTCCTGATTTCTACCACACCTGATGCTGGAATTCCATCGTGTGCTTCAGGATTCCCCCCAACAAACAGAACTCTCTTTGTTCTTAAACTAGGTAGGCTTATTGATTCCAGAAGAATCTTAGCCAACCAATATGCTTTCCTTTAAAACTCTATTACAGCCTTTCTAGGTAGCCATATTTTACTTTCAATTTCATTTGGTTCTTTCCATTTTTTTCCTTCACCGAGCTCATTTGTGATGTATGGTTCATTTTACTTTTTAAATCTCTCCTTCCCTCACCCATCCTGGTTTTGTTTTTTGTTTTTATTTTATTATTTGTTTTGAACCTGGGCCTCCCAGTCTCCCAGGCTGGCCTTGAACTCAGAGTGATCCTCTTGCCACTCCCTCCGGAGTTCTGGGATTACAGGCATGCACCACCACGCCTGGCATCGCCCATCTCCACTTACACTATTCTTTTTTTTCTTGGCACCTTCTGAAATTTGCATTTTAAGCCTACAGGCTGTGTGAATACTCCCAGTGGCCACTGGCCCCTCTATAAATTTCCATGGGATTCTGTCACTCTCTCCTGAAGCTCTGCCCCTTCCAGCTCATCAAATAGTCCTTTCCAGTGGGAAGATCAGACCCAGTGGCACTGACCTCTCCCAAGCCATACTTCCCTTCCGTTCTGACGTGAAGGGAGGCCAGCTGAAACAGAGTGACAGGACTACTTTCAGCTGGATGAGACTTCCAGTGGATTTCTGGATAATTAATGGTCTCTCTTTCCTTCTCAGCAGTCTTCCAGGATGTTTATTCAGAGTAACTCCTGCCAACACACGGCAATTCTACTGGTCTGAATCTTTTTATAGCCTCATGCAATGACAGGCCAAACATAATGAAAAGGTATTTTATACACCTGCTGCCCAATTGTGGGCTGGGTGAGAAAGTGTGAAATAGCTTTAAGTGGAATGTTCTGGTTTCTCTGAAATGGGACCATACATGGGTCCAGGTCCTCACTGGCTATGCTGGGATGCTGGTGGAAATGGTGTTGCCACTGAAAAGATCCGGAGGCTTTGAAGGGAAAGGACAATCTCCAAAAGGACATGGGGTGAATATGGAAGAAGGGTGGACAAAATGTCTGCGGCTAGAAAAAAGTAATCTGGGAAAATTATGTGGATTCTAAATCATAAAGCAACAATAACCATAAAACAGACAAATGGCTTCAAGGATCGGAATATAAAAAGAATTCTCAAAAGGTAATTAGAGGGGAACACTTAAGTAAATTATAGCATAAAACATTATAGAACTATCCAAAGTGACTACATGATTATAGAAATGAAAACATTCTGCAGTTTACTAGGTTTAAAAACAGATTACAAAACAGTATTATTCAGTGAGATCCACTTTCTTTAAAAAGATACACACACACACACACACACACACACACACATACACACACATCCCTGGAAAGAAGGCTAATACCAGGGTTTTTCATCAAACTGTAATACATACACAATTCTGCATTAATCAAATCCCTGGGTCTGGTAAGATTCAGATTGTGATTCAGCAGGTCTGCAGAGAGGTGGCTGAAGCTCTGCATTTCTAACACTATCTTGGGTGATACTAATGCTATTGGTCCCACAGACCACATTTAGGAGCAAGGATATACAACAGGTGACGAGATCACTTACTTCTCTTCTTCCCTTACACCTACTAATTATTTGGGTTAAAAAAGAAAATTTAAAGGGCATGCATCATTTTATGCTATGCAAAAATAAAATTTATTTTAAAAAGAGAAAAATGTGAAGCAAAACAAAGTATCAGATATTATAAAACTGTTAGAAGGAAGCAACCTAAAACTCAGGCAACAGAGGCAATTTTTGCCTATGAAAAACCGAGTCCTAGGCCGGGGAGGTACATATCGACTTTGGTGGCAGGTAATTGAAGTAACCATGATGGGTGGTTAGAGCTCCGTTATGGGGCATAAAACATTGAGTGCTGAGTCACAGACTACCAAGGTGCCATCATCATAGATGGGGATGAAATTCATGTGTTCCCAAGTTTCTAACCCATACTCCAGGCTGAGCCTAGACTTCAGAAAAGGCAGGTGGCAAGTGTCTTTTGAGTATTTGTGCTATTGAAGCAAGCATGGCAAGTGCCTCTTTATATAATACTATAAATATTTACTATCAGTCACATTTAATGGCTTTGCAACACTAAAAGTAACAGAGATATCAAAAGCCTAAAATGATATTCACCACACTTTGAAGATAAGCTGGCATTGCCAGTTACCAAAGGTGACTGGGAGACAGCAGTGTTGACAAATGTCTGCCCTCTGCTGGACATAATGATGGTGTCTTGGATAAATGGAGAGGAAAAACAATGTCTCTGGGATCAGAGTAAAATTCTGGCTACTTCGAGGACACCACAAACATAATGGGGATGGCCTGACTTTTTCTTGACAACAGATGTAGGGGCACAGCATCTTCAGACATACAGTAAGTACAGCAGTTAGTGACCTCTGAGGGAGGAAACCTTACTGGACCGCTCAGTGCACTATGAAGTGGACACATGCAGTTCTGCATCCCAGGAAGCCCCTTGAAAGCACAGAATCCTTCCAAACACAAACGTGGAAAGTCTTGGAACCTGGCTGAGAAACTGATAGTGACAGGAGCTGAGGTTGTTCCCGTTTCACCTCCCACTTCTCATCTCCAGCTGACTTCCTGGGCCTCTATAGCCCTGGTCCCCCCACATCCCAGAAGCAAGAAGAGAACCTTACAGAGGAGCCTAGTGAGGACACAAAGGAGAGAGCTGGGGAGGCAAAGCTGAAGGCCCAATAGCCAACCTAGGACTAAAACCTGGATGCTCTGACTTGCTCATGAAGAGACTCCAGAAAGGGCAAAAGTACGTAGACTCAGGAGACTACAACATGACCAAAGCCAAGCTGAAGAATAAGCAGCTGCCAAGTGCAGGACCAGAACCTGGTGACTGGTGACCACATTCCCACCCCACAGGACCTGCCCCAGAGAGAGTCCTCACTTGTCACCAGCAAGCTTGTGGGTTGACCTGGGCTCCCCTACCCCCTCCTCACCCACTGGACTGTTCTATGTCGTGGGCAGGGATGGAATGAGCACCTAGTCAGATCGTCTCAGCTTGCCAGCCAGGAAAGACTGATTCTACTGGGGGCTGCTGAGAGGTTAATATGGGTTAAAGAGGGGCTTTGAATGCCTTTCTTCAGTTAAATTGAGAGCAGCAGGTTCTTAGGAGATGATCTAGCTTGGAGGAAGCGGGGGGAAATGGCTAAGGCCGGAAGACTGAGAAATCAGCCTTCCTAGAGCTCAGCCCCCTAGCTCTTGCATGGTAAGGTCAGCCAGCAACGCTGCTTCATGAACAGGTGGGGGAAAGGGGTTGTGGTGACTGGCATCCTCAATCTGGTGAATCTTACTGAATGTCATTTACGACACAGAAGGCTGGGGTGAGAACTCACTGTTAAAGGGAACAAGATTCTATAATCCTTTCTTGCCCTTTCACCTCACAAATTCTGACAAGCTGACCACTTGGCCCACTGAGAATGACGGTGCACCTGCTGATGTGTATGTGGAGCGATGACTGGCCAGTTTCCAGACTGTCATTCCGATTGGCTAGGACAAGGATGGTGAGGAGGGAATGGAGAAGTAGGACCTTTGGATTCTCTGGCCCCCAAACTCCTTGACTGTCACTTGAAATTTATGTAATTTTAGGGTTTCTTCCTCCATTTTTCCATGCTGTCATCCTTAATCCAAAGTCCATGTGGGAAGGGGAAAATGATCAACATCACTGTATAGTTTCCTCCACTGTCCCAGCCATGTTACACATAGATATCTCATGTTATTACATATAATAACATGACTAATTTATTATAATTTATATATAAATATAGTTTTGTACATTTTCTTTATCTCTGATCTCAAATTCTGTACTTTTTTCTTTTCTGTCTGAGCTCCCTTCTATCGCTCAGTTTAAGTCTTCAAGACTGATGTTTACAGTAAGTGTGATTTTCAGGAAGGAATCGAAGAAACAGGAAACTGGACAAACTGTTAATCTATCTCTCCCTCTCTACCTGGCCACCTTCAAGGCTAAGAAAACAAAGAGTCTGTATTCTGTATTTGCCAACTGTATCTACACCATGAAGTACACAGTTTCCTCAACAAGGAGGGGTAATTTGAAAATCCAACTGAAAATTGCTTTGATTAAACCTAGATTATTAAATCCACTTAATACGTGCATGTTCTGGCCCTAGCCCCCAGACAGTTATCGCCTCAGTGTCCCCTGCTGTGAGTGGCTGTAGCCATGCTTCTCAAACCAAGCCTGCTTGGAGCTAGGCACCTGACTCTCTGGGAAACTTCCAGTTGGTCTTGTTTAAAGACTGTTTTTCTATGCTTGTTTTCCATAAGTATCTCCAAAAATGCAAACAACAACAACAACAACAAACTCTTCTCTGTTTATGGATAGCAAGAGACTGAAAAAACAAACAACAAAAACAAAACAAAACAAAAAAAACGTGACTATGTTAGGGATCAAACTCAGGGGCTTGTGCATGCTAACTACATGCTCAACCACTGAGTTACGCCTCCAGCCAAAAGTAATTTTAGAAAAGAATGTGTACTGCTTCAGACGGCTTTACGTAAGTCAATTCTCCCAAACTGAAGCCTGTCTTCTTAAGCAGACACTCAAGAATCTTCACCAGTTTTTTAAAACATCTGAAATGTGATAATTTCCTCACCTTATTAATCTGAGTTACTGAGCACCATATGGGTTAGGGCTGACTGGAGCCCATCATAACAAGTATCTGTATGATACAGCTTTATGTCATCATGGCATCCTTAGGGACCACCAAAGAGTACACAGTTGTTCACTACTCAGTTTTTAAAGTGAACATTAATTCTGTGAGCACCTCTCTATTCACAGACTCTAGATATATTTGTTTCTAGAAGTGCTTCCCTAGGCCTGCTCTCAGGCCCTCTACCCTAACCTCTTCCTAGTTTGCAGTCAAGATGAATCAGATGACCAAAGTCATCAGGGGTCCTAACTGGATATGCAATTCCAAATCTCTAGGCTCTGGGCTGAGAGTGGCTCCGTGCTGGGTACACTAAGAGCGTTTGTCAGCTTTGTACCCAATATTGAATTTGTTCTATTTTATTTTTCATTTATGTTCAGATTTCAGTAATGAATTTGCTAATAAAAAAGCATTATGAATAAAGAAAATACCATTGAGGACATAAAAGGAAAGGTATTCCATTAGATACTAGGAACTGAGGCACACATTAAATAAGATCATGTCACTTTTAATCTAGTAAACTTTGAATATACACTATTAGCACATTTATCTGCAGAATGAAGGACAATGGTATCCTAAAATAAAAGTCTTGATTGTTATTATTTCTATTATATCCTACTATATCCTATATTCCAAAATTTCTTCCATAATTTTGAAGATAATGTCTAATGTCTCAATACATGTACGAAAATGTCAGTGCAAGTGATCTTAAATGAATCACAACTGTTTTTCTCAAAGAACTGAACTAGGTGTGAAATACACTGTGCTCCCACTGCTGCCAGCACTCTCGACTGCTTTGTGCTCCACCCTCTGCCTCAGCTCAGGGGCACAGACTTCAGCTTCAAGGAGGTGACTCCCAAATCCGCCTGTAGTTCTGGCCCCAGGTTGGCACTGTACTGAGGTCTCTACACTGCCCCCCCCCCCACTGCTCGCTGCAGCTAAGTTGTTCTGCTTCCTTTAACCAGATGGCTTTCCTGTGCTACGACTCTTGCCAGTTCCCAACAGTTACCATTCAAGCCTAAACTCCTCAGCCCAGTGATCAAACAGGTCAGTCCCTCGGTCCATTGCCAACTGAGTCCTTCACTTTGCACCTTTTCTCTATTCTCCAGCCTGCCCCCTCACAACTGTTCCAGAACTACTTGGGCCTATTGCTGCCCCAAGGCTTTTAAGTGGTTCCCCCTGTCTGATATGTCAAACTTCCCTCCAGTTCCTTCCCTTCAAGAAATACTCCTTTGGGTGTGGCCTTGGCCTCCCTGCCTCCTACCCTGTGCCTGATTCTCCTATAACACTCAGCACAGTCCATACTCAGGGCTATTTAGGAAGGTTTACTTCCCTCCACACTTCGAGGCCTACACAGTGCCAGGCAAATCTTTCTCTCTGTTCTCCCCATGCTGCCCAGCACAGGATCCAAGAAGACAGTGGATTTAAAGTGAGGGAAGTGAGCCAGGCCCCTGCCCAAGCACAACTCTCCACTTCCGTGTACTTACGATTTCCACAGTTGAGACCACCAAGGCCAAATGGGCAACTACAAGAGAGAAAAAATAACAACAATTAGTTTCAAATCTCAAATGAAATGACAAAGGCAATTTACCCTAGTAATTTCTTAGGCTAGCTCTTCATTAGGATAGACTTTATTTTATAAGATTTGTAACATTTTCACCAGAATAAATGAACATGGACCTACCTCATACAGGTTTCATTTTCTAGTCTATATCCATCTTCACAAGCTGAAAGAAAAAATGAAAAATCCATTAATGTATCTATTCATCTCCCATGGATCAACCCACATGAATTAAATGCCATTCATTCTATTGTCCACAAGAATATTCTAGAACCACAAGGCTGCAAATAATTTTAAAATTATCTATAACCTAACTAAACACTGTTGCCAGCTCAACTCTTTTTTTGGTACTGGGGATCGAACTCGGGTCCTTGTGCCTGCACAGCAGGCGCCAGCTCAACTCTTAACCTCATTAAGAAACTTTTCTTAACCTCTTTGTGGCTCAGTTCCCCATCTACAAAAAGGTGCTAACAACAATAACAAAACTACCTTATAGTTTCCTGTAGGAACTGAACTAAAATGAAGCACAAAAATGGTTCAGCATTGGGCTGGCACACAGCAACAACTACTCAAATGCTGGTAGTTATAACTGTTATCAGCCAATTCTTTTTGGAAGTTCTCTATAGATAGAAAATGTCTCAGGCTGGGCATAGTGGTACACATATGTAATCCCAGCATTCTGAGAGGCTGACACAGGAGGATCCAAAATTTGAGCCCAGCCCAGGCAACTTAGTGAGACCTTATCTCAAAAAGGGCGGAGAATGTAGCTCAGTGCAAAGGCCCTGGGTTCAATCTCCAGTAACACCAAAAAAAAAAAAAAAAAAGTCTCCTGTGGAACATCCTTTCATATGTACAAAGATAAATCTTTAATCTTTTACCTTCTCTGATATAAATCAACTTTTAACCTGACATTGCTCTTATTAGCCCTCTCCCATGAGTTGGAAGTTGTAGGTGATACCTTCTGAGACACGGTCCTGGTAGTGTCCAGCTTTTTATAAGAAAATTCTCACTTTATAATCTGAAAGGAATTCTGGACATATCTAGATATGTCCTAATTGACAGCTTGCTCCAAAACATAACTTTGAACCCTTTGGTGGTGCCACTCCTGGACTGCTGCTTCACTGAAGAGGCCGAGACCCAGATTTTCCCCTGGATCTGGAGTTCCCAAATTTATTTGATCACAGAATACTTTCAACACTACAATAATTCAACAGAACACCATGAGCTGTAATGCATGCTTGGATGAAAGCACACAATGAAAAAAATGGCCTTGCAGACAAATTCTTTGCTGGGAGGAATGATAAAAAAAATTGATTCATGATTAAAGTATGGTATGCACTGCACAAAAAATACCACAGATGAGAAAAGGTATAGAGATACTGAGGCTGCCATCCTTGAACAGGCAGCAGACATACTAATACTGAGTTGTGAAAACCACAGACTGCATGACGAGAGATAAGACTGGCAGGGTGGGGTGCAGGCCCTGCAGACCCCTCTGTTACAGAATTGTGCATGACAGTAGTAATTGTGTAGACATGTGTAATATTTTTTCCTTCTACTTTTTTTTTTGGTACCAGGGATCGAACTCAGGACCTTAGTGACACTGCTGAGCTAAATCCCCGGCCCTCCTTTTACTTTTTTAATGTGAGAAGTTAAATGTTTCTGGCATCTATATTATTTCATAAATCACTTATCATCACTAGAGTTTTGTGGAACACAGTTTGGAAAATACTGTTCTAAATAATCTATAATTTGAGCTGGGCATGGTGGTGCATGCCTGTAATCCCAGCACTCTGGGAAGCTGAGGCAGGAGGACTGCAAGTTTGAGCCCAGACTACACAACTTAATGAATTAGCAAACCTGTCTTAAAATTAAAAAAAAAGCTACATAATCTATAATTTATCACATGGAAGATTATTAAAGAGCCACAAACCTGGATTGCACAGTTAGGGTTAGACAGAATCACTTTTCCCAAGCTACATTCTCTTGTACTGGGTGGTATTTATTACAAGAAGTAGCTACAGAAAATCCTAATGGCATTTAATTACAGGATGTCATGGACCACGCTTACAATACCACTTAGTGACCTCTTCATGAGGGGGCCCCAGGGCTTAGGAAGATGGAGATGCTCCTAAACAAAGGCCCTTTATTTTATGGAACTTGGCTCTTTTAAAAAATTAATTTCCAGGCCAGGGATTTAGCTCAGTGGTTCTGCTGCCTGCCTCGCAAGCACAAAGACCCAAGTTCGATCCCTGGTACCAAAAAAAATAATAATAATAATTTCCCCTTCAACCTGATTTACCTTTTAATATTTTAAAATCTTATTTCATTATAAGAATTTTTATTAGGTGCTTCTGATCCTTTATGCAAAAAAGACAGAGAATGTTATTATCCCATTTGGGGAAAGGGTAGCAAGACTCCATTTCCCAGTCTTTGATGCCTTTGAGCTCTTTGCTGGCCTTACTACAGCTGGTCCTCTCGAAGGAACAGGCTAAGTCCCCTTGCCTTCCCTGGGCACTGAGGTGGGATGATGTCGCATAGATTGTTGTTCTCTGAACTCTTCTTCCTGAAAATGTTTTTGTAGCAGATTTCCCTACCTAACCCTCATCTGCTATGCAGGAGCTCTCTACTCTTTGGCTGTCATCCAGCCATGGCCAAGGGCCATCTGCTGTCCTGCACAAGAGCCAATGGCTTAGGATATTTTCATTTAGTGGCAGAAGTGGTCTGATTCCTTGGTGTCTATTTCAAAGGGGCTCATTCACTCATTCATCAAAGACTGAATGTTATTGTGTGCCTGGTGCTATGCTGGGAGCCCTGAGGGGAAACCATGTCACAGTAAGACACTCCTGTGTTCTTTAACAGCCAGCTTCTTTTTTTTTTTTTTTTTGCTAGCTTCTTATCATATATAGCCTAGAAGGAGTCTGACTACACAGCACTGAAGACGAAATGAATGTGACAACATCTTACATAAATGCCCAAACTGGGGTTCCCCCATTGCTATGGGAAACAGGCAAATTAAAGCCTTAGGGACAAAAAAAAAAAAAGTAAATGGTAGAGTCTTAATAACACTTTTGTTCCTTTGCAGGGAGTAAGTCAAGACGTGTTGATCTTTTCATACTATATTTGCTGTCTTACTGTCTATGTGTTCATTCAACAGACATTTACTGAACCCCACAACATGTTAAGCCCTATTCTAGACCTGGCTCTGGCCCTCAAGGGACCCGCAGTCTGGCGAGATACAAACAGATTGTTAGAATTCATTGTAATGCCTGATTGGTGGAAGGAATCTAAGAAACCTATAGCAAGGATACCTGTTTTAATTTTACATCTAGCTCTCAAAGTCTGGTAAAGACATAGTAAAGCTGTTTTATGTGAGACACTAAGAAGCATAATTATGTATATAGCAAAGAGCAGTATAAAAACTAGCTTGAATTGCAGATTTAGAAATAATTCCTCCATCTCCACAGAGGACTGATTAGATTCAAGGTGTCCAGAAGGGTTATCATTTGACATATGCCTGTGCCCCAGCACTGATGGCCAAAAGATGTCACTACTAACCCATGAGAACCCAGCTGACAGGGCTGTGGTCCATGAGGCTCCAGGATCCACTCATGGGAGGCTGATGACCATGGGTGCTGCTGAGAAGGGGCATCATGGCCTGGGCAACGAGCCCACAAGCTACTCAAGGTTTTCTTATACTGCATCTTGGGTCACTACTTGGTAGACATAAGATTGCTGGGACTTAGGCCATTCCACTTGGTAAATATCTGATAGCTCTGCTATTGCTAATGCTAGCATGGGGCACTTCCTATGTGCCTGCACTTTTACCAACAGTCCCCTCCTGCTGTCTGCTTACCATCCCAGCACACATGGGTTTCAGTACCATCACCTTCCCATGTGAAGCGAGGCTCAACTCCCCATTTCTTTTTTTATTTTATGAAAAAACCCACAAAATTTCATAATCAAATAATAAGAGAATAACAAGTTATTACACTGTGTATTGTTATCTTCAAAGTAGTTATCAAAATACAAGACATAAACCAAAAAGATTCTTACAAAAAGTAACAAATAAAAACACAAATCTTACTTTTCAGTGAACTAATATAAATTAGTATCATAAATGAAACCAATTAGCATATATATATTGAAATATTTTTAAAACAATAGAATTTGTAATTTGAGTATTTGAACTTCTCCCTATGTCCTACTTATCTCTCTTCTATTTTGCTCTTTATTTGTGTGTGCATACATGTTTTTCATATAAGGGAAACCATGTGATATTTGAGCTTGTGTGTCTGATTTATTTCACTTAACATTATGTTCTCAAGTTGCATCTATTTTCCTATGAATGCCTCAAGTTCATCTTTCTTTATGGCAGAGTAGTACTCCAATGTGTGTAATACATTTTCCTTATCCATTCATCTGCTGATGGACATATATGTTGTTTCCAAGACGTAGTTACTATAAATTGTGCTGCTATAAACATGGGTATGCACGTATTCCTGTAATAGGATGAGTTTAACTCTTCTGTTAACTCCCCATTTCTAAGAAGGTCAAGGTACACTTGCATTAGACCAGGTGAAAGGGAACCAGGAAGGGCCATCTCTTTGTAGCAAAGCAGCAATCTGGCACGGCACTGAGAAATGCTGTAGAGCATTCATACATCATACTGATGGCCTTCTTCAAAACCCAACGCAGGTCCCGCCAGAGAAATGATGATGTTCACTTTGAAAGAACTTTGTACCTAAACCTAACAAGGTCAGAAGGTGTGAAGATCAGGATGAGAGTGCCACCCCAGAAAGTATTTTTACATTCTTCTGATGGAACAAGTCCTTTGGTGGAAGTCCTGACAGAAACAAGTGATGTGTCACCTTGCCCCAGTGTGTGACTTTTACTCAGATGCCACTAATCTGTCACTAGCAAGGTGCTGACTAAGCAGGAAATCTGTGCCATCTGCATTCCAATAGAAGGCAATGCTTAAAGCTACATAAAAAACAAAAACTAGCCATTTACAGTGCCAGCTTTTCTGATGATGATGAATTGCAGTAGTCTCTTATGTCAGAGTATACCATGCTATGGACCTGAATTAATTTTATTTTAAAGCAATATTCTCAGACTATACCCACTGAGCAGTCTTCATCTCAAACTGAGTAATTTAAACCTCACCTAAAAGGTTGGCAGAATTAGATTTCAGCTCCCAAACACTTCATGAAACCTTTAAAACTATAACTTATTAATTCAACACCAGCCTGGGTAAAATACAAGAGCAAATGCTGATGGTTTACAAAGTACCTCTCCATATACTTGCTTTTTGAATTATTAGAATAACTAATGAAAGGCCAGGGATGTAGCTCAGTGGTACAGCACCTGCCTGGCAAGTGCAAGGCCCTGAGTTTGAATCCCCATACCAAACCCCCAAAAGAAAAAGAATAACTAACGAAGTACCATTACACTCTTTTCACAGAAGAGGAAACTGAGGCTCAGGGAAATGAACTGACTTGTCCGAAGATGAAACCCAGTGAAGGAGAGTGGCTCTGCCTCAAGCCTTTTGGGGCTCAGTCCAGAGCACTGTCTTCTGAGCCACAGTGACCCCTACAAGGCACAGGCCTGGCTCCATGCTTATATTTCCATTTTAAAAGATTAACAGGGAATAGATAAAGCTTTGGTAATTATTACAATGATTTTTCTAACTTTCTTTAAGTGAAAAAAACCAGGCATTGCTCCCACTGGTGTTCCATTCTCTTTTCCTTTGAACTGAACTGGAGAGACCAGCATGCACCAGTCAGAGATAATGCTATTACTCTAAGGAGATAAAGTATTCAATCCTACTGTGAGCAAAAATAACAAGAACTGGTCACCCCTAGTTTAGAAGAGTTACACCCAGAGCACAGAGGGAGAGGACCAGGTAGAGAAAAGCATCTTCCTGCCCTGGGATAGCCCAGAACAGCAGGCGAACCTGTTGCTACCTCGGCAGGAGTGATCCATCTTGTTGAACTGAAAGTAGCCTGACTTGCACTGGCACAGTGCAACACCATCCAGGTCAGTGCAGATGGAGGTCTCTTTGTCACACTGGGGACTCTTCCGCTTGCACAAGCTGCCCGCTGGAATGGAAAAAGAAGACAGTGTAACAAAGCAAAACCACTTCAAAACGTAAGATGCATGAACTTGGTATTTCAAGAGGCTCTGAAAAGTTTTGCAAGGTCACTCTGCACTGCCTTCTGCCACCCCTTCTCTGTGTCAGACCTGGCCCCACGCACTGAATGTTCACAAGCATTCCTCACTGAAAACATAGTTCAGAGACAACAAACTGGAGGCGGGGCAGTGTCCACTGCAAATGTGGCCTCAAGGTGGTGTGCTCTAGACCTTCTATGCTAGAGGACTGTGCAGGGGCAGCAGGAGGACTGGACTAAATCCAGAAAATGTGACCATGTTCTGAGGTAGCTGAGAGACTTGGACCACAGACCATTAGCACAGCCGGATATGTCTCGAGTGGAAGCATGTCTCAGTTCTGTGTGTCTGTATGTCCTAGGGCAGTGATAGCAAACCTTTTAGAGTCTAAGGGCCCAAAGTGCCACCCAAAACCCACTTATTTATCACAAATCACCAACACTGCCCCCATGGGCGCTGTTATCCGATGCACAGCTGCTGGAGCGATGCTGGGGTGACTTGGCTTGCATGCTGACAGAGAGGGCTCTGGTGTCGCACAGCATACCTGCCAGAGGTTCACCACCACTAGCCTAGGAGGACCCAGCACACTTCTGCAGGATAGCTTGCTGCACCAACAGTGTGCTACCCAACAGGCTTAGTATGAGAAGAGGTATGGTAGCTATCTACTATACTCAGACAGAAGAACAAAAATATGAAACCAACTGGATAGTGAACACCCACATACAGGGCAAGGCAAGATAGACATGCACTGTTGTCAGGAGGCAAGGGCAAATTTAACATGGGAGGAAACCTGAAACGAGAAGGGAAATGTGTACGCTGTATGGTGCAGACTGGGTGCTAATTTTCTGGGCACAGTCTGCCCTATTCTCTAAGGGAATCTCAACCTGTTGAGAAATGAGGAGGCAGGGCTGGGGATTTAGCTCAGTGGTTCCGCTGCCTGCCTTGCAAGTGCAAGGTCCTGAGTTCGATCCCCAGTACCCCACCCCCCCAAAAAAAGAATTGAGAAATGAGGAGGCAGCCGTTAACACTGCAGACCTGCTCCTTGCCCAGGCAGGTCCTGGTGGGGAGCTGACATTAGGGCTCATCAGCCGACACACGATTTCCAGCATCCCCTTTTCTAGTGAGTCCTGAAAACTCAGGCCAGTGAGCAGCCTGGTCACTGCAAGGTAAGTTTAGGACAGAACTTCAGCTCCCCATGCTGAATTTCCTGCCTTTATCAGTGGAAGTGAGCATACTAAATCAGAACCGCATTTGTGTGTGACTGAATTTCCTTTGTTTATTTTAAAAAGTCAGTATTTAAGGGGAAAATTTTTTAAATGGAAAATCTCACCAATTGAACACTGCAAAGCTGGCACTTGGAAGGTACTGAACCTCCACTATCCTCATCTAAACTCTTTGAAGGCTTTGCCAGTCCACTACCCTTAATAGAAAAAAAAAAATACTTCCAGGACAAAAAGTAATTAGAGCACCTCTAGCCTTGTCCAGTGGCCAGCCTGAATTGCCTGGTCTGATTAGATATCTTCTGGAAGCCAATGTCATGTTTTCTTTCCATCCTGCCCGCTGATCTGGGCTGCTGGCAAACACTCTTTGCCGTGCCGAAGAAACCGATCCCTTCACAGAAGCAAATTCATGCAAAAGCAGGGAGAGCAGGCTCTGCAGTGAGGAGCTTCTTTCCTAACAATTCTCAAAGAATGTTTTATCATAATTCCATCAAATAAAACCACTTACAAGATGTGATCAAATATATAGTAAATGTTTAAATTTTTTTTAAAAATTACAGTAAAAGACACACTGCCACTAGTCCTCTTCAAAATACCCTTCCTTCTGTTTAAACACAGTCATTCCATCATTCTTACCACTTTCTAAAGAGGTTCTGGAAGTCCTTTTTTGGGAGCGTCTGTAAGGTGTGATAAAACATACAGTGAATGCTGGTGCCGAGTGCCACTGAATGGAAAGGGAGGCTTGTAAAAACATTATAGTACGTCCTATCCACCTTACTCACTGGATCTGGCAGCGTGATTTCTCGCTCTTCCCCAAAGTCAAAAATGACCATGAAAGGTAAACATTTTCAATGGATTCAGGACACTGAGGCAGCCATGACTGTGCAACTAAAGATACTCAAAAAAAAGGGCTTCTAGAACTGCTTCAGAAAGTGTCAAAAATGATTGTGTGTTTGAAGCAAAGGGGTACATTTTGACGATTAATGGCAATATGTCTTTCACTTTTTTTTAATACATTTTTAAAACAAAATTAAACATTCACCATTTTTTTCGACCACATGTCATATAATCTCATTTTCATTTTAAGCCTGGTGATGTGATTTTTCTACATTCACAATTCCCATGGTCTTTCCTGGGCATAACATCCGTCCAAACAGACAATGAGCACTTAAATAAATTTAAGGCTGAGACATTCGATAGGGGATTTCCAAGATCTATAAACCTCTGGAGACCATGAGAACTGCAGTTCTTTGTAAGGCAGGGAAGTGGATGTTTTGTGAATGGAAGGGAGAAAACCCTCCTCTCCAATGGAAGTGTCCAGAATAGCCAAGCACTCTCCACATGCTGGAAACACCCATACGTCAGGGGCCAACAGCTCCTACTAGTCAAGCCATCTCCTTAGCACTCAGAAAAGTTACCAAGAGACCGAGCTGGGGTGTGCTGGCAAAACCTGGAGGGAAAAACAGGCAAGTGAGCCCATTTTTAGCCGATATACATGGCTATTTGGTTCTCCAGGCTTTGAAAGGAGAACTAAAGAATGAAGGCCTCAGAAAGGAAGCAAGGTCGACAGGAGCCATACTGTAAGCCATATCCAAGCAGTCCAAAGAACAGGAGTCAGACAGCAGGCAGGGTTGCTATGAACAGGCTCTTGCAAACCCAAATATCCAGCCACCTGATTTGCAAGGCACAAATACATTTACTGGGGACAAATGAGTGACCTGTACAGTGCTGACCATGTAAAATGTACTCCATAAATATGGAATGCTTAGGAGGAAAAAATGGTACCCCCTGAATCCTTGGCAAGAGAAACAAAAAAGCCAAATCAAAGAGCCTCATTTTCAGCCCAATATAATGGGGCATAAACTTTTTAACCAACTGCCCAATTGAAAGCCATTTTAACTCCAGAAAGTTTAGTCCATATGTTCAAGTCAATAACTAGCCCTTAAATTGGCCAACCTCTGGTACTTTTTCCACTTTGTTTTACCCAGCTCCCAAGTTCCACAATATGTAAGCCCATGGGAGAAAGTTCTCTGGACCAGCAGTTATAAAAACCTGACCCACTGGGAGTGTCCAAGATCAACCAGTAGATAGAGGGAAAAGCCTGATACCTTCACCTATGTTCAGCATCTGGATGCCAGATGGGGAGGTTTACACCATATCCTTTGCCAGCACTAGTCCTGTGGTAAAATGAGCTAACCAGAGACCACTCTGATCACTTATCATGTGCCCAGTGGGACCAGCTCCTTTTGCAAAGAAGCACTTTTGATTCTAGCAGTTTTCCCATCCCAGAGTGAAACTTCAGCTCCAAGACCCAAATGAACTTGTCTCGAATACCTTTCTTTTTTTCTTTTTTCTTTTTTTTTTTTTTTTGGTACTGGAGATTGAACTCAGGACCTTGTGCTTGCAAGGCAAGCATGGTGCCACTGAGCTAAATCCACGGCCCCCAAATTCCTTTCTTCATGTACATTACTCTAGATGCACTACAGAAGCTTTTGATAAAACAGACAAAGCAAGAACAAGAAAAGAAAAATCATCATCATTACTGGTACCACTGGGAGCATTCAGCCCTGTATTCTTCTAGTGTTGTGATGTGTTTATATTTTGTAAATAAACAAAAAAAGACAGGTAATACTGCGCATGCAGTTTTTATTTAATAGTTATCATGATGAAGCTTTTTGGGTCACTGACAAGCAGATACTCTGCTGTGTGTGAGTCTGTCTCCTCTGGGAACAAGAGTAGTTTCTCTTTGTCACATCAGCTCCTATATCCCTTTTTCTCCTACCCCTATACCATACAGGAGAAACAGAAAGGGCTGCATGCCAAGGACCAAGTGTCCTCAGGGGTGTGTGCGTATAGGACTCTGTGTGAGTGCGTATGTGTGTGCGTGTGGGCACATGCATGTCCCCACAAAGGTTCATATATACAAAGACCTTTTGCTTCACACCCACTCCACAGACAGGCTGTCTGACGAGCTTTTCTGGGTTTGAGGCCCCTGTGTCTCTAGGTCTGTGTCTGAATGTGTGGGCAGGGTCCTCCCCAAGGACCTCTACAGCTCTTACCTCTAAAGACCCGAATTTGAGATCCCAAGAGTTGGCAGACCTCAGAAGAGGACCTGCAGGAGTTGACAAATTTCTGAATCCCATCATTCAGGTCAAACAGTGTCACACTGGAGGCCAGGGAAAAGCTGGTTTGCAGTGAGGTCACAAACGCACTGGATTCCCTAGGGGCAAAGTTTGCAAGTGTTTACTTGACCTAAATGACACATGGGCCGCAGGGCTTCTGAAAAATAAGTGTCATTACTATTCTCCAGAAAGGGAGTAAGAGTACATGAAGGTTCAGTGACCTTGGCCCTGAGCCATGCAGTGGCCCAGTGGAAATGGAGCCCAGTTTTGTTGCTATTGTCCATGTTAGAATAGCCTTCCCTTTCCATAGAATGGTTCACAGGAAATAATTCTGTTCCTTCATGATCATGGTATCTCCCCTGCCAAGTAAGTATAAATAATTCTGTTTCTTACCTAGACACATGAACTGTGGATCGGATATAACCAGGTAATGTTGAAAAACACACATTTAACTGCAAGGAAGAACAGGTTTGTCATTAATTGCAAGCTAAACAAAAGCCTTCAACCAAGAACCAATTTCCTGTTTTCAGGATAAAATAGGCATTTTCCAGCCATCAAATTATCAGCAGGCGGCTTTACACAAAAGCGGCATCCTTTTTTTTGTTCCCCTCTTAAATGTCTGTTTTTCCCTGAGTACAAAGGGAGAGAGGCAAATAGTAAATCAGTGGAGAAATCTTGGTAGGAAATGATGTTCAGAACAGCACCCTTGGATACAAAACATCTTCAAAGGAGCAGATCTCATCTAAAACCTAGGGTTTCAGAAAACTCAGAGGGAATTATTTATTTGGATTCTGCATAGTGAACAAGTTCACTGAAAAGACTCAGATCCTTTCAGCTTCCCCAGGTCTGATGGGCCCGACACAGAGCACTTATGATCTACAATGAGTTGACCTAACTCAAAAATAGGTGTTCTTCAAAAAGGCTCTCCATGGGAAATTATGTTCTGTGGGTCAAGAGCCCTTTTGTTGAGAGCAAATTAAGATCTACTCTCCCTGTGTTTGCCTTGTGTCCTCAGAGAGAGCACAAAATCCCTCTATACCATAAAATATGTGTCTACTTTCTTCTTACCATAACAGGGACTGGAGATTCCTTCTATGGAGCACAAAGTCTCAATATCATGTCTCATTAAGACTCATCTGTCCTGAATGTTATCAAATGCTTATGTTAATAATTTGTTATCAAATGCTTATGTTAATAACTTCTTCCCCAAATACTACTAAACAGAATGGTATCTTGGGAAAGACCATGTGAGTAGTTTCCTGAGTTGCTGCTTAATTCTTTACTGTTTCTTATGGGCAGGTTCGTCACATAACCAATAAATTATACAATGATACTGGACAAAAAATCCAAGTCAGGTAAGACACCGAGCTCAGTAATGTGAAGGACTGCTCTCTGCACAGGTCCTGAACTTCTGTACTATCTTAGAAGGAAATTTGGCCCTAGAGCACTGAGTCTTCCCTCTTCACCAACAGCCCTCATTGGTATAAGTGGCCTTTATGTCTGTGATTAAGAGTTTGCACATGGAAAAGAAACACAATGGCAATAAAGACTAAATGTGAAGACACATTTGAAGAAATACTTCTAGTTCTCAACACCTCTCTTGCATTTCCAAGAGGCTTTGTATTTTAACATGAAGTTTCCCTCGCAGACATAAAAAAAAAAAAAAAAAAAAATGAAGAGCCCAGAAGACAGAGTTGTTCCTAGGCAGTCCACAAGTCTGAATAGTCTGTTCCAGGAAACAAAGGACTAGCACAGGGGCTTTTAAGGAAGCTTACCGTTTTGGTAATCTCATTTCCAACTTCATGTACATCTAGATGTTTTTCCAAGGTAGTATTAAGAAACTGTTTCTTTAATTTAAACTCTGTCACGAAGGTTCTAACTGAAAATGAAAATGTTACCTGTTAGATCATGCAACAGAAAGACCTATGGAAGGCTGTGTGTTTGTGAAACTCTGGGTAGCCACCTTTACCCTTCTACACAGGTCAATCTCTGCATTTTTTTTTCCTTTAGGGTGCAGACTGCCCCTGCCTCTTCTAGGTTCATCTCTAGCTAGGTGAGCAATCTACTGGACTGACCTGAAGAGTTAGATTGAGTAACCCTCTGGGTGGGAGACTCAGAGACGCCTTTAGTGTACATGCAAGTACTTCTGAGAAAAGGCACCTTCTGGACAACCCTCTAATGGCCTCCTATAAAACAGATGCAATAAAGTTGTGACAAAAAAGATAGGAGGGTCTAAACAATATAATTCTGGGAGGAAGGGGTGGAGATGTGGTGCTAGACACTAAAATTATTCATCAGGCCTCATCAGACTTTAGACTAAGAAAAGCACTTGGGCGCTAAGATCTTTATTTGACTTCAAAGGGGTGCTTTGGTTTCCTCTTCACATTGGAGTAACCCTTATCCAGCCCCCCTTGCTCTTGCTCAGAGGAAATGCCTGTTTTACCATTGATTAAAAAAAAAAAAGGCTTCCAGAAGTTAGGTAACTTCCTAAGAAAGACCATCTAGCTCATAAGGGTCAAAATCAGCATTCAGACTCCTGTGTAGCATCTTCAAAGTTCTTATTTTCCTACTAGATCTTCTGCCCCCTGAAGTGTGTGATGTTCTGAGAGCAACTAGCAGGCTACAGAGAAAGGAGCCAAGCATTTGTAGTGGGCCTATACTCTGGGGTCTGCCAGACTCCATGATTATGAGCCACTTAATGAAAATAACCCATATCCAAGACACTGCTGGGTTCAGAAATTAAAGAAAACAGCCCCATTTTCAAGGCCCATTTCTCTCATAAAATAAAATTCTAGTTACCATCAATTTGTGCTGATTGGGCCTGAGGGGGATGGGACTTAGAAATGGGCAGACAAACAAAAATTAGTACAGCCTGCTTTATATTTGGCTCTTATCTTCCATTATATTAAATTCTTATCTTTCCCTCTGGACACACACACAAAAATAACCCAAAACACAGAAGCCCGTGAAACTGCTCTTTCATGGAAAGCTTGCATGCAGAATGAAGAAAAAGACCCACAGATGAGCCAGGGAAACCATTTAACATCTTATACTTAACTGTCTAAAGCCCTTAATCCTTATTTAACATCTTTTTGCTTGTTCTACAGTTCAGTGAAGCCAGCTGCTTAGGACTCTTTCTGAGCGGCAGGGAGCTCTTTGAAAACATTCTTGGCCAAATGAAAGCATTTCAGCATGCTCTAATTTGCATGTTCCTCTGATGTTTGTGAACAATGAGGCTAAATGACTTGAAAAAGGAGAGGTGATTGTTAACACAATAGAACTGCTCTCCTCATCTGTGCTACCTGTGGGACACTGTATACAGGCTTCCAGAACAATCACCCTATCCTTCATCTTCACCTCTCACTGTCTCAGTTCCTTCCCAGACTTTCCCTGTAGAAACATACACAGTAGAAATGTGCATACACAAAAAGGACAATGAAGTTTTCTGAATCCTGACAGTCAAGGTGCTTGCTGCTTTCAGCATGAGTATGAAGCTGCATCATGGCCTCCCAAACCCGGTACTCTTTCTAGGGAGGGATTTTTCTAAAGACATTTACACCTTCATGCCTGCAGTTGCATCCTCCAGCTTTAAGACGAACTTTTACTTCAACTTTAACTGTTGATTAATTGCTACATGAATTAAACACAGCATTTAACTGCTATATTATCTAAATAATGTTTGGAAATACCTATAATTATTCCTTTGTACCAGAGTAGTTTGTTTTCATAGCTTTAAGTTTGGTCCAAGAGTTTGATGATACCTCCCATCTGAACAGCTCTTTTCTATTTTCAAAGCTTATTCCAATACAGTTTTTATTTGAGCATCAATAATCTTGAATGGGAAGCAGAGCAGATTGTAATCTGATCTTACAGATGAAGAAATTGAGCCTGGGGGTTATGTGCTGTAGGTGCTGGCCCTGGAACTAGATTCAAGGCCTCTGAGCCGTGGGTAAGTACACTTCAAAACAAAATTATTTCCAACTTCTTTCTTCTTAAACTAAAAACTCTTGGCTAAATCTTATAAGGTATGGCTAAATGGGACAGGTTACCCAAATGCAAATAAATTATTAAATAAGAGGAATTCTTGATTTTGACTGATATTTATGTCTAGATTCTTTTTTTGGGAAGAGTGTTTACTTCTTATATTCCAAATAACTTTCAAACTTTTACTGTTATTTTAGTAGGGTATCAATCTTCTTAAAAAGCCCCTTATCCTTACGGGCAATAGGAATTCATGCAGATAATACTTTCAAAGGATACACACATTTACTCTCAAAAATATTCACTGAGCACTTTCGTGTACTAAGTATCCCACTGGGCAATTTAAGATGATTCAAATATCAGTCTTTTTATCTGCCAGTTTCCTCTTTCCACTTAGAAACTCTGTATTTTTCATTCTAATTTCTTTAGAAAGTTAGGTATTAAACTAAGTGTCCTACCAAGGGTCATACCCTGTATGCAAGAAAGCTCTCACAGTAAATTAACTCATTGTTGTGTAACAGAAAGAACTGTGGGTTGGAAACTATGTCTCTCACCAACCCGTTACATAAACCTAGCCACTCAACACCTTGTGAGGATCTTAGTTTTTATTTGGTTTGTTTGTATGCTTTTTAGCCTATAAAATGGAGACTGTATTTAAAACCAAACAGCTTCATGAATATATCAAATCAGGAAATAAACTATGACAAATAGTGTGGTACAACTACAGGAGCAGCTTTGTCAAAATATATCTGTCTGTAGATAAGATCATGAAGACCATTTTTTAAAATGAAAAGAATATGTGAATGTGGTAGGACAATCTAAATTTTATTTCTCCTTCTACAATATCTTTTTAAACTATGTATCAGAATATCCTTTTGATTTTATCTTTTGATACCCTAACTGAAGGGTAGAATGGTTAAGCAAATAATGTTATACACAAATGATAACACAATATACAGTCATTAAGATAGTTGTGTAATATTTTTAGTAACAGGAAAATGTTTAAGATACAAAGTTTGTAGAAATTTCATGATTTCAACTATGTAAAAATGCCCATTAAAAATTACAAAGTAATGTGTTATATTTCTGAATGTGAAAATAATAGGCAATGTCTTCTACTTACTTCTATATTTCTTCAGATTATATCTTGAACAAATACTGATTTTGATTAGAAAGAAAAACAGTAAATGTTATTTTATAAAATATATTGTGATTCAGAATAAATTATAAGATAGGCTAAATCTCTTACCCAAATTGCATATTCCTTTTTCCAAATGGTACCCTACTGGGCATCTGCAGATAAAAGATCCCTGAGTATTGTTACATATGGCCTGACGTGGGCAGCGGTTCAAGAGGCATTCGTTCACATCTGCCAAGGAGAAAGACCATATAATTTTGGCAGACAGCAAAATCATAATCCAGTACTCACTAAGAACCAAATGGTACTAGGTACAGTGGGGCGTGAAAGATGAGCAAGAGGCCACTCTTGAGGGGAGAGGTGGGCGTATAAACAACTGTAAATATAAGGCATGTTTTGGATATGTAGAGAAAAGAACAGATTTTGATGGAGGGGAGAATTAAGGACGTTTCAAATAACAAGTGGATTAACATTGGAAGGACTTTAAGAAGCAGACTTGGGGGGACTAGTTTTAGGCACCAGCACAGTAAATGCTAAGGGTAAGGCAGCGAAGGGAGCTGCAAGGAACTGTAGGTGGTCTACTGTGGCAGAAGTGTAGGGAGTCTGAGGAATGGAACCAGATCAGGAAGCTTATCAGCACTGCATTATGGTATCTCATGTTATCCTGCAGGTAACAGACAAGCATGTTAACTCTCAAGTAAGCAGGGTGTTAATTTAAAAACTTATTCTTCTACATTTTGGAGGGGGAAAAAGTTTACTGAATAACTGACATGATACTATAGACCAATGGACATTACATTTTTCGTTTTTTGTATCCGGGATCCAACTTGGGACCTTGCGCTTGTGAGGCAGGTGGCGGAACCACTGAGCTAAATCCCCAGCCCATCATTACTTTTATTCTTACCCACACTGCAGTTGTCTCCTTGCCATGAAGGGGGACATACACATACATAGCCGCGACTAGTGAGATCCACAATGCATTTGCCATCATGAAGACATGGGTTTGTGGCACAGCTGTTGACTAAAAACACATACCAGAAATAACACAGTCACAAAGGCAATGTAAAGGGAGCTCTAGGTAAATATTTAATTATTTTAGTTAATACCTGATTCTTACTTGTGTCTGTTTACTTGTCCTGAGAAGCCACAGTACTAAAATAGAAGGGGGCCCCAGGAGATGCAGAAGACAGGGGCAATGGGACTGGGTACCAACATCAGTTTGTATCCATATATAGAGGCTAGATAGTTGGATGCCTAAATGCAAGAACTGGTTCAAATCAAAAGCTGCTTACAGGTCAACCAGTTCGGCAATTATGATATTACCTTTATGATATTTAGAAAATTCTACTTGAATCAATGTCAATTTAAAACATATGGGGGAATCCCCTGATCAGTTCATCCTCCCTGATGCAAAATTCACTGTGTGTGCACGCGTGAAAGTGCATGTGTGCTCACACATACTTGCCCTGTTTTTCTCTTGGGCTTTATCAAAATCATAGTAACCTTCCTCCAAAAAAATCTCCAAATGTAATTATGCCTCCACATATCATGCATCATTCAGAAAATTATAACCACTATGATCTCCCTCTTTACATATTGTACAATAGGCCCTACCTGAATTTATTGAAGCTCTGTGACACACAGACTTCAGTGTCATCTTAAACTCACATCCCCCAAGGGCAACGATCACAAATCTGTTTTACTCTATGTAACTGCAGTGTCACATTCCAGATATGTAATACCTGCTTCATAGAGATTTCTGACACATACTCAGAAAAGACAAAACTTACCGTATAACTGCATCATCTGCAAGAAGAAATCAGTGGGAGAATGAGAAAAAGACAATAGAAGTCAAGAGTCCTCACTCCAAGAGAATAACTCTAAAAACAAATGACCTAAACCCCCAAATGGTCTTCTTCTTCATTGCTGCTTTATGTATTACCTAAAATCACCTAGTAAGCTCAGCACCTAATAACCAAACATGTAATGGCCAGTGAATGTGCTCCTAATACCTACCATAATTATAATGGCTATAGTTTGCTTTAAAGGACTCTTACGAATTACCCATATGGCATTGGTATATATTTTGTCTTTGGAAATAAAGCCTATGTCCCTGAAGCAGGGCTCCTAAATTATCCCAAAGAAAGAGCCATCTTTCATTTTCCAAAGGTGCTCAGATCCCTGGCACAAAGAGCACTACAGAGCTCCAGGTGGGGGTACTTTATGATTCTGCACCACTAGATTGATCATGGCTGACTAGTTTCAACTGTACTACACCCTGCCAATCACTACAAAATATTTCTCTTCTTTCCTTCTTCCTGAAGATGTCAGTCTCATCTCCCCTTCCCCAGTCGCACTTTTCCTGGGTCTGGAAAACCTGAAAGTGCATTGACATCAAGTGATATATTTCCCTGTTTTCTTCTACATTTCCTTAAATAATAAAGAATCATTTGGATGGCTTTATTTACCAGTATCAACATGGCTATCAAGATAACCTTATGTTGTAATGTAAAGAAGGCCAGTCATATAGTCACTGTAGGAAAAGGTTAGTTTATTACCTTTTTATTTACATGTTCCATGACTCCCATTTATCAACTAGCAACCTAATCTTGAGTCACAGTTTCTTTTTTTCTTTTTTTTTTTTTTTGGTGCCGTGGATCGAACTCCAGTCCTTGCGCTTACGCAGCAGGTGGCGAAACCACTGAGCCAAATCCCCGGCCCCTAGCAACCTAATCTTAAGGGGACAAAGGACAAAGGAGCTGGGTTAAAAGCCCTCTGCCACTGAGAAGCCTACTGGAGCCTGAGCAGTCAGCTGATTGACCCAAGTTCTAGGCTCAGATCTGGGAGCAGGCACCCAACTCACTCTGTTTCAGACAGGCTACCTAAAGCTTTTTCTTAGCAAGACAGGGTCTTGCTAAGTTGCACAGGTTGGCCTTGAACTCAAAATCTTCCTGCCTCAGCCTCCTGAGTATCTGGGATTATAGGCATGTGCCACCATGCCTGGCTACCTAAAGCTTCTTCACTTCAGTTTCTCCACGATCCATTCCCACATCTCTGCCTAGCTCTGAACTCAGAAGACTTTAAAAGGCATGCTTGACAAACTCTTGTAATTAATTATAGGGCATTAAAAGCTACTGCTGCAGAATATACTGATGTCACATGTGGTCAATGTATCCTCTCTTTTTTCAGAAACAATCATGTAACTTGGGGAAATTTTGCTTCACTGTGACCTTATTTTATGCTGTTTCAATAGATAACATTTTAGGTTGCCAAACAGACTCTTTTAGATACTAGTCATTTCCACATTCTCATGAATCCTGAACCTCCTGAAGCAATCAGTGCTGCATAGGACCACCAGTCAATATACATTTATGAGATGCATCTTACCTGGTGACAATGCCATTGGTGACTGTGTGCTACTCTGGGCAGTGGGGGTAGGAGATTTAGGAGTCAACATTTCAGCAGTAGAAACATCTGTGGTTTTGGAAAAAGGTGATGTTCTGAGGAAAGGCGAAGCAGGGCTGTACTCTTTTGTAACATCAAGCCTTGTGGTCAGTTCTTTTGCTGATGTGGGTACGCTGGTTAGAGGGATCAATTGGGTTGTAGCATCTGTATGCACTTGGTTCCTCTTTGTGATGATGTCACCTTCTGTTGAGATTTGTGGCACTAGAATTTCAGGATGGGTTGACAAGAGCTGTTTTCCAGTTGTAGTAAGTATAGCTCCAGGGCCAGTGATCAGAGGTTCTGTGCTTGACAATGTGCTGGGACTGACCACAGGAAGGTGAGAAGTCTTAAGAGTGGTGGTTGTCAATGTTGGAGACATGTGGGCTAGGCTGGTGCTCATGGCTGTAAGGGTGGGCTCAGTGGAGGATTCTGTTAAGGCTGAGGGCAAAGGGACTTGTGAAAGAGAGCTTTTTGTCACAGCTTTGGTGGACTCTGTGGGCAGAGACACCAGGCTTGGTGACTTTGCTTCTGTAACAATTTTCTCTTGCTGTGGAGTGCTCTGGTTTTGGGGATCTGCTGTTTGACTACTGTGGCTCATTGCTATGGATGATGCCATTGTCAACATCTGAACTGATGTCACAGGTGTCTCCCTTGTTCTGGATAGGACTGGGGTAGAAGATGGATGTGGTAAGGTTGCTTGTGAGACTGAAAGTGTGGTAGATGCCATCAAGGATACTGATAAAAGTGTTGATGGGGAAGATGAAGTTGTGGACACTTCAGAGGTAGACTTTAGCTGATGTGTGGAGGTCCTGGTTGATGGTAAACTTGATGAGACCTGGAGGGATTGTGACACTGAGGGCAGAGGCAAAGGGGATTCTGAAGAAGACGAGTCACCAACAGATCCAGTATCAGTGCCCAGAGGAACAAAAATGTTTGGTATTTTAATGGTGGGTGTGTAGGATGGAAAGTTGGATGTATGCAGAACTAATGACTCAGTGGAAGGCTGAGAGTATTCCCCATCATAGGACGAAACATTACTTCTTTTAGTCTGAACACGAGAAGAGGAAGAATAGTCTGAATATGAAGCATTTGAGATCTTAATATAAGAAGTTGAGCTCTCGCTGGTGTCTAGGGATGAACTATTATCTGTAATGGACAGTAATGCCCGTTCTCCTTTGGTGAAAGCAGATGAAACATAGGTGTGGTCTGTGTGGTCACTGGAAGTCCTTTGTTCAGTATCTGTGCCACTCACTTGACCATAGCTAAATCCAGTGACTATAAAGGGAAAAGCCAAAGTTAGGTCAAGTAAATAAACAAGGAATTTCCAAAACATACACTATCAAACAGACTTTAGGTGTCTTATCCGTGAATTCAAGCAAGTAGAAGACTTTCTTTGGAAAGGAGATTTTCCAATGTTGAGCACTCTGAATGAAGACAACATGGAAAGGCTAGTGTTCTGAGCGGATTTTCCTACTGTGAGGAATAATGGTGGCAGCAGTGGAAGAGGTACTATAAGAGAAGCAGGGAACGAGGGCCTAAAAATAAGGAATAGTTCCAAATTCCTTCCGCAGCCTTTTTTGATAAAATCAAATTGTTATTTGAAAAGCTTTCAAGACTCCAAATAGAATAATTGTTATGCTTAAATGGAAAAAGGAAAACCCACCCAACTTTCCATTCTGTATGAGATATTTCTTTCCCAGGAGGTTGGCCTTAACCACAGCGACTGGTTTCCTTTATTTTAAGGCTCCAACAGACGTCATCCCATATGCCTCAGCAAGTGTGCGCAGGGATTTGGGAGGGGGGATCCTGAGGTGGGAGAACCCAAAAAGTTCCCTTTGTAAAGAAAGGTCCTGGGGTACTTTCTGGGTTGCCAGCCAATTTAATCACCCTAGGGGCTGTGAGTAAACCGAGAGATAAACTGAGGGAATGTGGAAAAAGTCGCTGCCGCGAAAGACACTCCACCTCCAAGGGCAGGCAAGGCGGCCGTTGACTGTGAGAGTAGGCCCATGTCGTCTGTCACGTTGCTGCGCTGAGCAGTGCCCTCAGTTTCCCCGGTCGCCATCGCAGAGCGGCCTGCCTCCGCGGAGGTCACCACATCGGTGAGACTGATAGAGCGCAACGTGCGTTCCCCGATTCGGGTGAGCGTGGCCAAGGTGTGTGCGCCGCGGGGGTGCGCCCCGGAAGTGCTCTCCTCTGTGGCAGAAGAGAGGCCAGGCACCGCGCTGTCTTCCTGGGCTGAAAGGAGAGGTGGCCATTAAATGCGGTGCCCTAGACCGAACCCCATGTTTGTGCTTTCTTCGAACCTGCACTTTTGATGAAACCCTGAAAGGAGCTGCAGGTCAGCCCCTCTGTTCTGATGATTTGGATTTATGGAAAGGTTTATTACCCCAGAGAACAGTGGTACCTCGGTTCTTGCCACGATTCTGATCTCAAATTCAATTGGTTGCAAACCGAATCAAATTTCCCCATAAGGTCAACATTGAACCTAACCACTGAATTTGATTTTCTGCTGAGTGATACATAATAGAGATTATTGCAGGAAAATTGCTGTGGGCAGGGAAAAGAACTGATGGGCAAAGGAGTAGCAACCACGTTGGGGCTTTGAATATTGGGACAAGGCCTTCAAGGGAGGTGCAGTCCTCCTCTGGGCTCGCTCTAGGATATTAGTGCATGGTTGGGCCACACCATATGATGGAGGTTAAAGGTGGGCTTAGTTTTTTTTGGTTTTTATCTTTAAAATACACTTATTTTATTGATGGAAGAGGGAAGGTGACATTTGAGTGAATATCCCTTTCTTCCTTTTGGAGGTATATGTTTTATGCTATAAACCTAAAGAATCTTGGAACTATATTACATTAGATTATCAAATAAACCCTTCCTTTCAGAAATGATGAGAGAGATCCAATTCTTCTTGGCCTGAACTTCACGATCTGGCTCTGTAAGAAAAGATTTCTTTACTAGTTCTTTTTTCCCACCCCAGATTATCTCTTGAAACTTTGATAGAAAAAATGTCTATAAAGCTGAGCATTACATAAATTCATTTCAGGACAGGTTTGAATTAACAGGAATGAGCACGAGGACTGGACACCCAGTGATCTGGGGCAGCTTCAAGCCAGGAACTAGAGAGAGGTGTGACTTGATGCCCACTGAAGGGCTCAGGAGACAGATGGAGACTCAACTAGGAGAGGCTTGTGAACAGTGTTTCTGGGCAGTTTCTCTGGGCAAGGGGAAAAAGGACTTGGATGGGAAGATTTTAAATATTCTATCAAATGAACTTTAGATAAACAACCACAACAGGGTTATAGGCTTAATAGAGTGGAGGGTAATAACCTAAAACAGAGTGAGCAGGTTAATCTTTTTTTTTTTTTTGGTACCAGGGATCAAACTAGGGACCTTGAGCTTGTGAGGCAGGCGGCAGAACCACTAAGCTAAATCCTCAGCCAGAGGAGGGTAAATCTGAACCTAGAAAAAGAAATGGACTGAGAACTCAGAAAGCCTGGATTGCAGAATTGATCAGCTTTGGGCAATTCAGAGGAAAAGAGATAAAGCATTATACTAGCCCACAATGAGATTATTTTAGGAACAAGGTTACTCCTTATCTAGCTTTTCACAATGAGCTCCAAGATCTAATCACTTGTTCCACATGAACTGTTCTGGCTTGTGTCTAGATGTCTCCCCAAAGCCTCATGTGGTCATAGGTGGGGCTTTTTCAAAGGTGTCTGGATCTACTGTGTGATGCTAGGATTAAGGGTGTGTGATTACTCAATTAGTCCACTGATTGGTTTGGCATAGTTTGGGGAGTGGATAATGGGAAGGCCCTCCCTGGGTGTGAGTGCTACCCACCCTAGGGCAGTTAGCCTGGATAAAATATAAAGGACAGAAAGAGGGCTGCTGTGGTCGCTTGTCACTTGGTGCTATTACTGCCTTCTACCTGCCATGGGCTGTTTCTCTTCTGTGATGCCTGTCTGCCATGCCACTCTGCCTGGAGCCAGCTGATTATGGACTGAAATCTCTACAAATTGTGAGCCAAAATAACGTTTCCTCCTTTAACTTTGGGCGTAGGGTATTTTGTCTCAGCAACAGGAACAAAGTAACTAAAACATGAACCAACTAAATATTAAATGTGGACAGGAATGGTACTGAAAAAATGTAAAAAGGAAAGCCAATAGAACCTCAGGTCATGGTTTGAAAAACATAAAAATCCTGGAGCCCCACTGTGGCAAGGGTGGAAAATGATTCCTTTTTCTTAGAAGATAGATAATCTGTTTCTCATGCACAGACATAAAAGGATAAATATTCTGCACCCATATGTGTTTTATTCTTTCATGATCAGCATTTGCATTTCCAGCTCACGTGAGTAATAATGAATGATAATTTTTCTTATTAGCTAGAATTTTACAAAATCTTTGTAAATAGGGAGGGATGGAGGGGTTGAAGGGAGGGCTGGGCACGGGTGAAAAATAAGAACCAAGAGAGACTATGTAAAGGTGCAAATTTCTAATGATAAATGTCATTATATTATATACCTAAAATGTACCAATGATTAGAATGAATAATCGATAATGCAAAATAGGAAGAAAAGGTCCAAAGGGGTAGGGGTAGTGGGAGGGGCAGGGGAAAGGAAAGAAGGGAAAGGAAAAATGATGAGAAATGGAAAAAATGGAAATAAAGTCTTTGTAAATAGGGAAGGGTGGGCAAGGAATGGGGAAAAAATAAGAACCAAGATGCATTATGTAAAGGTACAATTCCCAATGAGAAATGTAATTGTGTTGTATACCTACAACGTACCAATAAAAGAATTTAATAAAAAAAAAAAGCAAAAGTGCAATCCACTGAACAGGAGAAAATGCCTACAAATTGTACATCTGTTAAGGGACTACTATCCAGATTATGCAAAGAACTCATACACTCAATAATAAAAAAAAACCCCAATTTTAAAATAATCAAAAGATTTACATAGACATATTCAAAGAAGATATACAAATGGCCATAAGCACATGAAAAGATGTTTGACTTCAGTCAGCTGGGAGATGCAAATTAAAATCACAAGATACTCTTCAGTCTATAATTAAAAAAAAGTGAGTAAGTACAAGAGTTGGTGAAAATACGGAGATACTGGAACCCTTGTACATTGGTGGTAGGAATATAAAATGGTACAGCCACTTTGGAAAACAGTTTGGCAGCTCCTCAAAACTTATAAATGGTGCTACCGTACAATCTGGCAATTCCAAGAGAACATTATGTCCACATAAAAACTTGTAACTGAATGATCAAAGCAGCATTATTCATAATAACTAAAAGGTAGGAATGAAAAAAACCCTAAAATGTAGGAAAAACATAAACATCTATAAACTGATGAATGGAAAGACAAAATATGGTACATCTTTACTGGAATATTATTCAACTGTAAAAAGGAATAAAGTGTTGATATATGGTGTTATGTAGATGAATTTTGAAATCATTACACAAAATGTAAGACACAAAAGCCCATATATGATTCAGTTTATAGGAAATGTCTGGGATAGGCAAATCCACAGAAACAGAAAGTAAATCAAATGGTTGCCAGGAAGAAGGGTAGAATAGGAAATGACTGCTGATGAATGTGGAGTTTTTTTGAGGAATGATGAAAATGTCCTGGAATCAGGTGGCAGTGATGGTTGCAAAACTTGGTGAATATACTAAAAACCACTAAACTATACACTTCAAATGAACATGTTGTATGGAATGTGAACTATATCTCAAAGCTGTTAGTAAGGGGGAAGGTATCTTTTGATGAACGCCCTGAATAACCTGGGATGAATAATGGCTCGTGAGAAGGTGCTGTTTTTACCTTCCAGAAGCTCTGTGATGAGGCAGGTATGGAGATGTGGGGTGGCCTACGAGGATTAGGAAGACACTGACACAGGAGTCCTTGCATTGTGTGTGAGAAGAGGATGCTACATCAACAGCTTCTCAGACATGTACCAGAAACAAAGTTGGGATATATAGGTATCTCTGTATTAACCAGATAGGAGAACGGCCTGGGAATGACAAAACTAGAGGAGCCTAAGGAGTTGTTTCATCAGTGCATTCCTTAACATGTCACAGAAGACGGGGATTTAGCTCAGTGGTTCTGGTGCCTGCCTCACAAGCACAAGGTCCCAAGTTCGATCCCCGGTACCAAAAAAAAAAAAAAGTGTCAGAGAATATCATAAGCATGCTAACCCTCGCTTCTCTCTGTGGTACACTTCTGTGATATGAAAGCTTACTTGAATGTTCTCCACGTTGTGCTGAGGACTCCAGGCGTTGTGAGGAAGACTCTGAGTAACTTCTCTCATCCAGTGCTAAGTTGCCTGCTGTGGACTGTTGTGCAGAGTCTGAGAACTGGGTCAGAACTTCATCATATGAAGCAGAACTTCCTGTCACATCTGCAGATGTCTTACTGTTGGTCAAGAACCAGTGTGCTGTGCTCTCTCCACCTCTGATAGAGGGGACTGACTTAGACACAGTCTCAGTGTGAGGCATGGAATTTTTATTTCCTGCTTCTGGGCCACTAGTAAGCTGATGCCTTCCAAAGGCTATAAAATAATATAGAAAAAAAAATGCCATTATATAGATATGAAAATGATCCTTCAACAACTAAGAAGTGAGTCCTTCCTAAGGAAAGATTCCCTTTCTTAAGGAATCATGTATAGAATTTATTATATGTGTCACCTGACATGCATTATCAGATTCTAAATAATTACTTCAAAACTCTTGGGTGTTTAACAAGATAGCAATACTAAAAGTAAGTGAACAGGGGACTTCTGAAAAACATTTGCAAATAGCAAAGTAACTTAGAACCTTGAGTATTTTATTTTCTTGCCCATGAAAAGTAGTTCGAGGAAGTATGTCATCACATCCAACAAATATGTGCATAAATGTAGTATACAGAGCATTTTTCTCAAACAGTTGTAGTATTAGTAAAGATTTTTCTAATTCCAAAGCATAAGAAAAAAATTGACTATAGGAACTAAATCAAATCATGAATTTGGGTACTACATTTGTATCTACACATTTATTTGTGAAAATGATCTGTACCCTAAATCACTGAAGGTAGTTGTAAAGTGTGGTCCAACTGTGATTTTGAAGATAATTTTGTAACATGAAAAGTACATACACGCATTACTTAAACCTTCTGAGCCTTCATTTCCTCATAAAGCAGTCGGGATAACATCTGTCCAGTTAACCTCACTATGTTCTTACAAGGAGGAAAATCAATGCAATAATGTGCCTTATCAAATAAAGGAGCTGTTAACCTCAAAGAGTTCACTTCTCTTCGAAGATTCCAAATGGTCATGACAAGGATTCCTAAGAAAATTCAACTATTTAAAAATGCCCTAACAGATCAAGTAAAGAGAGGATACTTACTTGGGGAATCATTTTGCTTATGTGAAGATGTAATATCAAATTCACTTTCTGTGGATGGCTGAATGAATTCTTCATCTGCTGGGTTCTTGGCTATGCTACGGTTTCTTCGCAATTCTACCACAGAGGGTGAAGAGTGGACCGTGGCTGAAGTTGCGGCAATTTTGGAGTCCTCAGGAAAACCCACTGTCTTGTTTATAGGCCCCAGACTGACGGGCAAAGACTGGAGCTCCCTTGGGGCACTTGCATCGTCAGTGAATGTAGTGGCAACATGCATACTCTTGGTCTGGCTGACTGATGGGCTTTGGAAAATTCTGGAGTTATGTTCCTTTATAGTTCCAGGAGCTAAAATGGAAGAAAATATGCTTCAGAACTACTCAAAGGGTTAAGAAAATCAAGGATGTATCTAGATACAAACAATGTTTATTACATTTTGGTATATAAATTTAAATACTATGGAGTTTTAAACGTGTGTATCTTTACACACACATGTGCAGCCAGGACTCTCCAATCTCCTTACTAGCTCTAATTCTCATAGAGCTGAGTGGCAAAGCAGCAAGGTCCCTCACCAGCACAATGGAAGGCTTTGTGTGTAAGCTAAAAGGAAACACAGGAGAAAGCAAGACAAATGTACTATTTACTTTGGTAAAGAGATTCAGATTTGGTAGGTGGATTCAGCACCCAGCAATCCTCATTGCAAACAGGAATAAAGTGCGGGAAAGCTTAGTGAGAAGGAAGCAACATGGCAGGCAAGAAGAGAGTGCCTTTTTTAAAAGCCAAAAGTAGGGTCGGGGATTTAGCTCAATGGTTTTGCCGCCTGCTGCACAAGCACAAGGACCCGAATTCGATCCCCGGTACCAAAAAAAAAAAAAGCCAAAAATAATAAAAGTACTCTAAATTGATATAATGAAAGGCTTTGTGGTGTTAATTATGGCGGAGAAAAGGGAAAGGGAAGTTGTCATTATAAATAGTTCCTTGAAGAGCAGTCTTATGTGCAGTTGTGACCAGATAAATGAAGCACAAATACATTTTAGATATAGTTGGAGAGAAAGAGAGAGCACAGAAAACAAAGAGTTCCTCTTATCTCGTATAAAACCATAGTCCCTAGCCTGGAATGGTGGCACTCACCCACCCATAATCAGCACTCTGAGAGGCTGAGGCAGGAGGATAGCGAGTGCAGGTCCAGCCTGAGGAACTTAAATGACTTAGTGAGACTTGGTCTCAAAATGAAAAAATAAAGGGATGACAAAATGAAGATGCATGGAATCCATAAAAATAGTAATAAAAATAAAGGAGTAGAAAGATGAGGCATCAAACTAGAGTTACAGCATACCCAAACCCAATCCTACTTGAAAATAAAAGGTAAAGAAAAAGCACTTCAGTATAAAAAAGAAAAGCATAGATATGCTTCAAATAATCCTCTCCCAAATTACTTTTTTTAAAAAATGGTATTGGGAATTGAACCCAGGGCTTTTGCACTGAGCTACATCCCCAGCCTTTTAAATTTATTTTTTATTTTAAGACACGGCCTCACTAACTTGCCAGGCTAGGCACAAACGTGCAATCCTGCCTCGATTTTCCCGGGTACTAGTAGTTTGGATGCCTGGCTCCAAACTACTTTTAAAACACTTCTCTTCCAAGTAAACTGCACTATTTTATCCATTCAATGTTCCCATCAAAACACAGTGCTGATTATGCTGGATTCAGCCTGGATATCCCTGGCCTGTCCATTTTGGTGTTTTAACAAATAAGTGGCCACAGGTATACAATCACAAAAGTCACAAATACTAATTTGCAAAAGGAAAATGGCTCTGTTTTCCCTGACCTGCATCATCATAAAAAGCTACCATTAGTTGGTCAATTATGATATACCAAGCATTGCGCTAAGTACTTTACATATTAGTTACATTTAATCCTCACAGAAAGAAAATGAGTGTGAACACTGCTGAGGAGTTATTGCCTCATAATAAAAAGAGGAAATATTTAGTCAAACTAATCTACAATTGCTACTAATGTTACTAAGTAAGCACTTGCTAAATAAATCTAGGGGAAATTAACCACATTTTAAATCAAGTGATGAGCATTATTATTATTTAATAATTGCTTTTCCTTGCTCACATCTACTCCAGAAGCAGCCATTTAGATATGGGAAAACAATCCACTGAGGGCAGACACAAGCTGAGTTCCCAGTGTTTGTAACAGAAGGTGGAGAATGCATACTCCTTTGGTAAAAGTATGTTCATTCTCCAATCACAATGCAAAATACTAGAGCCTCACGCATGCATCAGAATGCTTAACCTTCATTTGACTGCTATCTAGACTTAACCCAAAGTATAGCTGAAGCAGCTGATATTTGAGAAAGATAGACTAAATCTAAACTCTCCAGAGTTATTTATGCCCTCTCCTTTTACAAAGTGAAATCACCACAAAGCAATTTACCTGGACCACATTACCTCTGCTACCCACAGAAACACTTTTATAAGTTCAGGTCTATTATTATACCCTCAGCTCCTGTTGAAAATCTATATAAAATAGCATCTTTTAAAGGACACCAGCACAATTTCCACAAAATAGTAACTGAAAGCATTTTCCATTATGATCCTCAACATTCCTTATAGAAATATTCCTCTTAGAATTTATTGGTCCCAAAACATTTATGGCTATGGATTAAATTGTATGCTTTATCTGAGCAATCACTTGCCCCACCCAGCTTCCCTTTGTGCCCTGGCTTTCAGGAAGCTTATTCTAAATTTAGTGCTCAATTGTAGCCACTTCACACAATTCAACATACACATACCTCTTTCCGCCATAGAAAGAGAGCTTTTCCCCATTGTTTCTTACTTTGTTTACTTTTCCCCCACAATGATCAAATAGTGTATGACCATTGCAGAAAATATGCAAAGTATAGAAAGATATAAAGCAGCAATGACTGTAAGGCACCAGGAAAGTAGTTTCAAATGGCTTCCAATATCTTTTTTTTTTTTTTGGTACCGGGGATCGAACTTGGGTCCTTGTCCTTGCGAGGCAGGCAGCGGAACCACTGAGCTAAATCCCCGGCCCTCCAATATCTTTTTAAATTTTATCTAATTCTGCTGCATGGGTCTATGCCAGCCTTCACACTGTAAAGCATACAATTTCTTTTCAGGAACAAATAACTCCTGGGTATGTCAGCCTCAGAAGAGGTGCTACACATGCGTTTCTGTGTAGAGTTTGGTAGTGAAAGGAAGCCCAGACTATGAAGGCTGTGTGTGGAATACCACAGGCTGAAACTAGCAGGGATCTTTCAGGTCATCAGGTCTTATCCCTTCATATTTTGAATAAGGAGCCCTGTCTTTGCTGTGCTGGGCTTCTAGCTCATCATGCTTGTGCCCACCTAGCGAGGAGCATCACTAATCTGACTGGTCTGAGTGCTGGGCTTTTTACTAGAGGATGGAGTGGCACAAACCTGTCACATTCCTTCACATTTGTGTTTGTAGACCTGGACGGTTGGGCCAGGCCAACTCCAGATCTGCCTTGGCAGAAACTGCCAGCTATCTGTATGCAGTCTTGCCCAGTTGCTTGCAGCTTCGTTATTGTGCAGTCAGAAAAGGAGAGTAAACCCTCAAGATTTCCATTCAGGGGAGCTAGGAGGTATACATACCTCTGTTTGGTGTGTTGGCAGGTGCTAGACAAGCCTTAAAAATAAATTTGAACTTTGTTTTCCCTCTGGCTTCAGGTCTTTGTGCGTATGTCCTCTATCCCAAAGCCCCCTGAGTCTGACATCTAAGAGGATGGTCAGACTACACAAAACAGAACACCTAGTTCACTAAAGAAGAGAAATTCTAGTAAAAGATTACAGGAATATGAAAGAGTTGAACTCTCCAAAACTTAGAAGCATAAGGTTTTAGAAGGGCAAATACTCAAATAATTAAAAGGCCAATTTTTGTTGTTGTCTTGAAAAAATTATAGGTAAACAGAGACTGAGTCCAGTAAAGTTAAAAATATGGTCAGATTTTCAAATATATAAATTCAAATTATAAATATTAAATGACCTTGATCAGAATAAAAGTGGAGACTCCAAGAAAATGCTTCCTTTCCACCATTTAGTAAAATTGGTTGTAAATCACTGAACCACAGAATGTCAGAGCTACAAAGGATCATAGCTTTATCCAATCCAACCAGTGTTTATGAATAATCTTAAAAAGCAATCTCCTAAAAACATGAATCATAAATTATATCCATACCCAGTCAGCAGAAAACTGCATACCAAGTGTATGGCAGAGAAGCTGGGTGCCTTAAACAGGCGTTAAAATTCAGTTTTGCTTTGATGACATAAACCCAAACTTCTACTCTTGCAAAGTATTTCTGAAAACCTCTGACCTATAAGAATTTTGAAATGGTAATTTCTGAAGCAACCTAACTTCAGTTTCCCAAGAATGCTCCCAACCCTCTATCCTGCTCCCTATGGACTAAGGATAAAAACAAGCAGCATACAGACACTGAATAACACCTAGGAGGGGCAGTTTCCAGCATTCTCTTTGAGTCATGGCAGGATGTGCCCTCTGAGGGGATTTGGGCATCTACTAATCCCCATTTCTTATTGACTTGTTCGGAAGACATGGGGAGCTAGAATAAGGAATAGACTCAGCCAGCGTCTGCAAGGGGAGTACAGTCTCCAGGTAGGTAGGTACCGGGCAACTTGGTCCAAGATGTTTAGTACAGAGGACCAGAGGGATGGAACACCTGAGCTAGGACTTAACTGATAAGTCGGAAGTGGAATGGCAGAATGGGGAGAGTGCTCCACGGCCACAGTGACTAACAGCATGCCTTGCAAACACCGCCACTTTTCTTTGCCATTGAAGGAAGTGTTTTTGCAAAATTAAGAAATAAATGATATACTGCTCCCCATTTCACAAAAGTACCTTGTCTTGGCTTATATCTAGATGTCTCCCCAAAGCTTCATGTACTCACTGGCTTATCATAGTTCTGGGTGCGGGTGACGGATTTACTGAAGAGGGAAGATCGACACTGGGTGCGGGTGGCACCAGTCAAGGGGCCTGTAGCCTGGAAGGAATAAAAAGGGAAAGAAGGGGGAAGTCATGCTGCTTTCTGCCTTCCACATCATGAACTATTTCTCCTCTGCCGTGCCTCTCTGTTGTGCTGCCCTGCCTTAGAGCCAGCAACTACAGACTGAAACCTCTATAAACTGTGAGCTAAAAGAAACCTTTCCTCCTTTAACTTATGGGTGTTGGGCATTTTGTCCCAGGACCAAGAAAGTAACTAGGATGCACCCCAATCCATGGCCTCTTCCGTCAGAATACACACCATTTAACACTTAGTCCTTGTATATGAATGTATAAAGGAGGGAGAAGGAAAGGAGGAAGCAGGCCAACTATTATCTTCTTCCTTATATGGTTAAAGAAAACATATTTTAAACATGTACTTCAATACTGAGATAAACTGTGTAGGTTGTACTTCTACCCCAAATACTTGGCAATAGTGGAATGGCATTTTTGGTTTATTGTCTTAGGCCCTATTACAAGTATTTAATTAGCTATCTACACACCTACTGATGACTGTTTTGAATTACTTCGGAGGGGTAATCTGGGGACAGGAGTACTCACATGAAGAATGGTCTGAAGAAGGAGAATAAGCTGGTGTCCTGGAGAAATGAAACAATGAGAGCTGTGGTCCTGAGGAATTTCTTTTCATGGAGAGCATGGTTGGTTCTCCTGGCTCCAAAGCAGGAAGAGAGGACTGGCTCAAAACTGAAGTGCCAGACATTTGAATATGCCCAGTCACCACTTCTGGGACACCCTTCACCCTCTCCAGGAAGCCCTGGGATGTTCTGCTCTCCATGTGAGAACAGGCAATTTTTCCTTCTGACTCAGAACTGCTGGATCGCATGTGAAGCCTTTCCAAGGCTGAATAATTAAAGCCAGCAACAATTAAAATTTCACCAGCAGACTTCTAAATGTCTGAATAATCATTTAGTGGGTCAACTCTGACTTCTATAAAATGTATAGATGTGAAAAGAACTTAGGAGCAATTGTTCTCTGGAAAACGAACTCCTGAACAAGAGACCATAAACCAAGACAATGATTGTTTTTTGAGCTCACAAAAAGAATGTTTTGAGAGTAAAGTTATCAGCAGTGGGGCAGACTGAAGCCAAATATCAAACAGTATGGACTTAGAGGTCAGTGCCAGATCATCATAATGCATCACCTCCCATAGTGCAGAGATGATTCCAGAATCTATTGGAATTCAGCATAAACAAAATTTTCAATAACTAGATGACCAAAAATACCCAGGCAGTGTCATGTGCAGAGTTACTAAGCTCTGTAGCCACCACTCATAAATGGGACACTTATATTTTCTTCACAGAACTGAATGTCTTCAGTGAGACCTTTTATCATGAGGGTGTGAAACTATGGAATCACTTCTGACACTTTCATTCTCTACTTTGAGGTACCTCCAAACTTTCCTTTGTGGAGAGTCTTTATGAAACCCTCCCTCTTCATCCCTGTGGCCAATAGGGGCCTAGATTTGTGTCTACCTGGGTGGTTCCCCTCAGTCTAGGTTCCCTCCATCTCCCCAGCCCTGTCATATGTTTTCAATCTGCTTGACAGATGAATTCTCCTCAGATTTGCTTTAACAGTATTATTCCATTGTGCAAAGCCCTTCAGTGACTTTCCCACCACACCAGGTATAAACTGTCTGGTTAGCAAAGTGCTCCATGATTGTCCCTAACTTATCCACACAACTGTCCTACTCACTGGTCTGTGCACAACCCCTAAGGAGGATGCTGGCCCTGCTACCCCACAAAGATGCCAAAACTGTCTCTCTCTTCTTTACCTTCATTCACACTGGGATCTCATTCCTCAGCCACACCCCATTTGAGATATTCAGATTTAGGCTCAAATCCTAGCCCTGAAACATGTTAATTCTTTGACCTTCATATATTGGGTTATCTTCTCTGAGATTCAGTTTTCAAATTCCTAAAGTAAGGATAACAGGTCTTTCTGACTTTTTGTAAGGATTGAGAAAACAGATATGTTGGTATGTAGTGAGTAGCTAATAACTGTTAGTTTTCTTTCTCAATTAAGTCTTACCATCAAGCCCTAGCCCCTTCTTAAAATCCTTTGCTAAAGATAGCAAACCTCAAAGCTGTGTAGTCTGGAGCAAGAACAACTATTTGAAGCACACCAGCACAAAACCACATTAATACAAACAACACAAACAAGACAGCCTGGCCATCTTTCCCAGGCATGCATCCTACCAGACCTGTGGTTCTGAGATTGAGTATGTGGCAGCATCCTCAGAGAAGAGATGAAGTTTGGAGTCAGACTGGCCATGGAACGGAGATGTCATGGGACTGACCAGGCTGCTTGACAAATCTGCACCCTTCTCTGATCTGTCCCTATGTGCACCTCACAGCTTAAGTCACAAGTCTGACCCAGCTCAGGCCAGGACCTCTGGACAGGCACAGTTAGTTGGGATCGGGAAGGAAAGAGTGAGGCAGCAATGTTTTCCAGGACTGGATAGATAAATGAATATAGTAAGCGTCATCAGCACAAACTCACAGAACGTACTGTCCTGGGAAGTCAGCACTGTTGCAATCTCAGGTGAGTGCACAGCAGGGGAGATGGTGAAATCTCTTCTACTTGAAGACTCTTTCCTTCCTTCAGCACTTGCTTTTTCAATCAGGAGAGTGAGGTTTTCTGGAGCTTCTGAAGAAGTATGGCTCATTCTGGAGGTCTGAACCAAAGTACCCTCTTTGGAATCCACAGTTGAAAAGTCCTCTGGATTCTGATAAAAGGCAATGTTTTCTATGTGGGGCTCAGTATTACTTTCTGGCCAGTTGTTCCTTATAGCAGCTGAAACAAGAAAACACATCAGTGAGAACTTGCTGGTTTCTGAAAAGCAAAATAAAGCTTCAGAAAAGATACCATGAACAGACCATTTGAAGTTATTACTGACTACACAGCTCCTTAGAAATCCCATTTTTGTTTTACCTGTTTGGGAATATCTTTCTGCTTAGGATTGGGTGTGTGTGTGTGTGTGTGTGTGTGTGTGTGTGTATGGGCACCATGGAAAAACCTCTAGGGAGGTGGATGATGTCACTTCCGTCTGTAGGAATGAGGCACCTGTGACAAATCATCTCACAAGCAGAGGCTGTAAGCAGGCAGAACCTGTTTGTATTATTATCACATGTGTGCAGATGTGCACATGCACACAACACACACACACACACACACACACACACGGAACAAGTTTTCTTTTAGGTTAATACTGCCCAAAAGACAAAGTGAGCAACAAATATAATCCATATAAGTAACCTTTGCAGCCACATTTTAAAAATAAGGTGAAATTAATTTTAACCACTTAATAGTTTACCCCCGAGTATCACTTGGCAGTATGTTTGCTTATATACTGACTATCCTGAGTGTCGCTCGGGCAAGGGTCATTTCAACCAGTCCATTCTTGTATTGAATAAATTCGATAAAATTGTCATTTTTGTGTTTCTTTTTATATTATCTTATAAAAATTAATGAAAAGTACAATTTTCGGTCATCCTGTATTTAAATAATTGGACTGGTAAGTGGTTAATCTTGTATTTCATTCAACCTATTAATATCATTTCAATATGTACTTGATATAAGAATTACCAAGATATTATTATTATATTCTTTTCTTGGTATTAAATTTTAAAAACCCAACGAATATTTTACAAGCCACATCTCAAGAGCTCAATAACCAGGTGGCTGGCTAGTAGTCACTTTCCTAAACAGTACAGTTCCAGATCAGTGGGACCAGAGGCACTGGCTCACTTATTTGGGGTGGGGTGGGTGGTGACTGTAAAAACTTCCACAAGATTATAAAAACTTCTGGTAAACTTTCCTAAGGAAATTATGTCCTCCTCAAATCCCTTGAGAATTACTGGATTTCTGCCTCCTTTCTGTTTCCTGAAGGTGATAATTAGCAGAGGCTTCCTGGCAGGGGAGGGAAGTTGCCCAGGCATCTGGGCTTCACTAGAGCCAACTCCAGATAGACAAGACCAACACTCAGATAGAAATGAGATATGGAAGGGCATTTCCAGGGGCAGCCACAAAAGTCCATAAATTGAACTTGAGGCCTAGGGGTTATGGGCAGCAGTGACGGATAAGGTATACTCCCTTTGTTCTTCCTATCTGAGCTGTGAGCCTCCCCAGAGGAGATAGAAGGATATAAGGATCCTTTCTTTATCTTCTTTGTTAACTGGGCACAAGGAGAAAAATTACTTTCAAAGGTAGCCAGAACAAAGTGATTGTGGGTGGCAGAAGGGACTTGCACCTATTCCCCTAAGCTGGCAAGCCATGAGCAAAGGAAGGTTATAAACTTAGCTCTATTATAGCTTTAAGACAAGTGTGAGACCCAGCCACTCAATGCTGTGGCAGGCTTTGAAGGAAGCAGCAATGTCCCCTTCTCAGGGAACAGGCATGGAAGTCCCAGACCCCATTCAGCTCAAGGAATTCCACTACAGTGTCCAGGAGGAAAAGGATGGCCACATGCAGATAGGACATGGCTCACACTGAACCATGTTCTCTCCCTGAAGGTAGCCTAAAGAGGTGAAAAGGAAAAATGCACAGTATAAACAAAAAGGCTGACAATAGTCCCGCAGTATCCTCAATAATGCTGCCACTATCAACAACTAAAAATGCTGAATAAAATCGTTTTTAAAAATAAATCTAAACATACTTCTGAGTTATTGAGGAGATAAAGAATCAAATCTTCTAAGACCAAAAATGAACCAAGACTAGGAGTACAGAGAGGTGAGCAAAGACTGAAGCTGGCACCTGCTCAGCATTTGTGACCTCGAACTTGTTCTGATGGCCTCGGGGATGCAGGAGATGGGAGACTAATTCTCAAGAAGGGAGTCTAAAAGGAAACCACTGTGTAAAGCAGGAACCCCAAAGGACTATGCCTTGGCTGTAAGGCAAATGCAAATAAATCTGCCTTATGAAGGGAGGAAACCTTGCCCTTCAATCATGACTTATAACTGCGCTGAGTGTGGTGATGTGGGTGTAATCCTAGCACTTAGGAGGCTGAGGCAGGAAGATCATTGAGAGTTTGAGGCCAGCATGGGCTACACAGGGAGTTCAAGGCCAGCCTGACCTACTTAGAGAGACTCTGTCAAAAGGAAAAGAAAAAGATTTATAACCACAAAGCTAGCCCTTATGTGGGTATAGAGCAAATTCATATTACCTGTGTTATCTGAACTTCAAATTGAGGATGTACTTAAAAGTGCTCTATACCTTGTGAATACACTGAAAGACATTCAATTATACTCTTCCAATGGGTAGATTTTATAGTATGCAAATTGTATCTCAAATACAGATACTCACAGGCACATGTGGGTGCAAACACACACACACACACACACACACACACACACATAACACACACATCATGAATAATGCAAAGATGGAGAAGTGGTCCTAACAGTACCTCCAGGGATCTGGCAGAAATGAACTGAAATTTACTACAAATAATGTCTAGATGAACATACTTTCCGGCCAATTTCTATCATTTACTGATAAAATTCTAAGGAGTGGGTTAAAAAAAAAATCACAAAATGATGAAAATAAGCCCTCCATGACCAAAAGCAAATTAGTAAGCAAAGACTTCAAATACTACATCATCAAACAATACATGTATATACAATTACATTAGGAGAAATAAGAGAAAAGGAGATTATAAATAACACCCCAAATACTTCAAATAAACTTTAATGGAAATTCTAGAAATGACAAATACAATAATTAAAATGAAGGAACTCAACAGCAGATTAGAAATGGCTGAAGAGAGAGTCAGAAGGTAAGTAAGGGAATGCCAGCAATGAAATACAAAGATGTATAAACAAAAAGAGACAGGATGATAGAGTGAGAAAGTCCAACACACATCTAAGTGAATTTCTAGGAGAAGAGAAGTTAAGGAGAAGTGTCAATATGCAATGTAACCGTTAATTCTGATGTCAACTTCACTGGATTAAGAAACACCTAGGAGATTAGTAAAGCACACTGCTGTGTGTGTCTGGATGGGTCATGCGGGCATGGCCTTGGTCCCTTACCCCATCTGCTCTGATACTTTCTCCCTGCTCTGCTTCATGGCTGCCGTGAACTAAGCTGTTTTGCTCTTTTTTTTTATGCGCTTACACCATGATTTCCACCTTGGAGGCAGCTGATCATGGACTGAAATGGTGACCAAATTAAACCTCTCCTCCTTTAAGTAAGTTGTAAGTGTTGGATATTGTATCTCACTGATGAAAAAGCTGACTAATATGTACACACAAAAAAGGTAATGGCTGAGAATTTTCCAGAAGGAATAAAAAGTATAAGAATCCTCAAAGGAAGTTCAACAAAATCTTAAGAGGCTAAATAGAAAAAATATATATACTCATATCACAGTGATACTGCAGGAAACCACAGAGTAAGACTAAGTCTTACAAGCTAATAAAAACTATGGCAAATTATCTATAATAAGATGGCAGTTCGGCCAACAGCAATGATGAAAGCTAAAAGTGTATAAATATTTTCAACATGGTGGGAAAGAGAAAAAACTAGAATTGTATTCTCAGAAATACTATCTTTAAAAATATCTCAAGATTATCAAATAAAAACATTTTCAATCAAAACTGAGTTTATCAGCCACTCCCACTAAGGTAAATTATAAAGACCTGATTTCAAGAAGAAAAACAATCTTAGATAACAGATATCAGATCCAAGAAGACATAATGAGCAAAGAAAGTGGCAAATATTTGCATAAATCTAAATATATGCATAGATGTATAAATATTGAATTTATGAAAAATAATTTCTCATTAGTGGAATTAATAAAACAAGATGGATAACTGTCTGCAGAGATGATCAGAACAGTGTGGGTGTAGGACAACCAGAGTAACTTGGAGTTGTATGAAAAATGCATTTAAGGTACTCAAGCTGACCCTAACAGATAAAAATGTATCACTTCTAAACTGATAGTTTGGAATGACATAAAATTTCCATAGAGCAAAATTAATGAATATTGCTCAAAACCAAAAAATGAATACATAGCAATATATGCATGTCATTTAGAGATATGGTCAAAATTACTAAATGAGTCAATTAAAAGAGTTGAAAATGGGTTGATTCTGAGGAACAGAAAATTACAGTGGAGTGGTCAGGGTTTTTGTAACACTCTTGTAAAATCTACTTGATCTTTGTGACTTTAATACAAATAAAAACTAAATGTTTCAAATGTCAAATAACACACCATAGTAAATACCCGTAGAGCCTTATAAAAGTGTTAGGATCTTTAATATGACAACTTTTAAAATCCCTGACATCTACATCTTGTAGACAACATGAATGTGCAATTCACCAAGGAAAATATGTAAGTGGAGAATAAATACATGAAAGTATTGTTAAAAAGCAAAGAAATACAAATTTGAACTAGGAAAGAGTTTACATTTGTATTTATTTATCAATGTGGCAAATATTTAAAATAATATACCATTGCAGGTACAGAAAATGGACACTTTCATACAATGTTGGTAAGAATGTACAGTGATTGGCACAGGCTTTCTGAGGAAAAATTTAGTAACCTATTGCAAAAATCTTAAAAACAGGCATACATTTTGATCTAATAATTTCATTTCTGGAAATTAATTCTTAGGTAGTTGTTAAGGAAGTACATAAAGTGTTAGATACAAGGAAGTTTACCAAAGCCATGTTTATAATAATAAAAATTGGAAATAACCTAAATTTCTGAATTAGGAAGGTGATTAATTATAAAACAAAATTTTAAAGGGCTAACCAAAAATATTACTGATATGCCCACCCTACATTAGTTGCAACAG